GGGGGGGGGTGGTAGCGGGTGGCCACAGCGTCCCGGGCTGTTGTGACCTGCAGGTGGTAGAGGTTGCCCTTTCCCCGCACCCATTTGGAATAAATCCCTTCGTTCTGCCCCCTCTGCCCTATAGTCTCACCTGAAGGAGCCCAGAACAGAGGGAGTCCTCCTCTCGCGCCCTCGGAGAAGTCCTGTTGCGAGCGCCTTATGGAAACTATTCTGATGACAGCCCTGCATTTTCCAGGACAGCTGAAGCTGAGACCTGGAAATTTCAGGAGCCTACCATTGCTGAACAGTGATACATAAACACAAAAGGTGACCCCTGCGGAGTGTGGCGCTAAGCCATATCAGCTATGGAAGATCCGGGAGGAGACTCTTGGCGGTGCCACATGAAACATTATCTACAGGCATTGGCGGCATGGCAAGCTGACTTCAAAGACTCCGCCACTCCTGCTGCTTCTCTTTTAACTGCTTTCTTAGTGTCGCAGTTTGACTTCGCCACCTTTCCAAGTTTTCTAAATAGTAAAAGAGAACTAAGCAATGTCTACTATTACTATTATCAGACAGAGTTCCAGAGCTGCAGATGTAGAGAAGCCTAGATGTAGAGAAAGGGAAGTGGTAGCTCTTTCTGTTTGTAGCCATGCGCCTACCCTCCCAATCTGGCCTGTCTTCTTTCATTCTATGAACATTTTCAGAGTGCCTTAGGTCCCAGGGAATATTCCAGGTGATTGGGAATAAAGCCACAGGCATTTCCAATAGGCTTGCCTTCAGCTATTTCTTGTCACACAAAGTAAGCTTCCAACATGACAGAAGAATTTTATACCACACTTCAAATACATATTAGAGAGCTTGCTCAGTGAAGGATTAGGTTTGTTCTGAATGGCTAACATTGAAGATAACTTGTGGGTGGAAATTTAGGGTAGCAGACCCGAATTACACATGGAAAATCTATTGATCGTTACTGTCATTTCACTATAAAATGGGCAGCCTTAGAGGAGAGGGTTGTCAATGTTGGCTGGCAGGCTTTAGACAACAGCTTTTTTTTTTTTTAAAGATTTATTTATTTGTGCATGGGGTACAGGCCAGAGGCTCAAGGGCAGCGAAAGGCTTCACCAAAGGCAGAGTGGGGAGCAGAACAGGCAGATTGAGGAAGTACATTGCTGAAGGGAGCAGCGGGCGGGTCAGGAAGAGGTCTGCCACGCCATGTGGTCACCTCCGGGGCACGCAGGGATCGAACTCATGAGGAAGTGGCTTTAGCTTCTCAGTGCTGTGCTTTAACCCGCTGCGCCACCAGGGAGGGCCTAGACAGCTGCTTTTAAGGATTATGCCAGGAGGCCTAAAGGGAGGAGGGTCATGGCAATGAAAAAGGCCTGAGTTCCTGAAGACCACGTCCCCTGTCCTATTCCTTTAGCTCAGGATATAGACTCCCATTTTACCCACTGTCTTTGGCATCTTCATGTCTATGTAGATTACCTTATCGTAATTTTTTTTCCTGCTAATATATCTGATGTTGACTTGATTATTCTACCAACCTGAGAATAGCAAGAACTTGTCACCTTCCCCCCCCATCAATCCTATCAAGAATAGCAAGAACTTGTCACTCACCCTCCCCTCCCCCATCAAAGGAAATCATCTCTATTAGGTTATTGGGCTAGACAGTAACCAAGACAGCCTCAAAGGATTAGCAAAGGGAAAAATACAACAACAACATACAGACGGAATTTTTACATCATTGTCAATTCTAAAGAATAACAGAACAGAGTGAAGGGGTATTTATCCTGCTTTTAGGGTACTAAGACTTCAAATAGGTGGACTTTATAGAGCAGACACAAAGGGATTCCTCATTCTTACTGAAAGTGAACATAAGTCTTAGGAGGGGACCTGCAACTTGATTAGACCTTCTTCCCCTCTCATTCTCCCTCCTCCCTGCAATTATAGTCTTTTAGGTCATAAAAGGAAGAGCAGCAATTGCATCTCAGATTAGGAAAAACACAGAAGTTCTAGCAAGGGAGGCTCTCATCTTCAATTAAAGAGAATCAAAGGATTTCAATAAGAACAGAAACTTCTCCTTACCCTCAAAGGATTTTGTTGTTCTTAGCTGAAAATACTCTTCAGGCCAGAGGGCTGCATCTTGAGATGGGTTCTAAGAATCTTGGGGTGGTCTGATTTAGACACCTTCGAAACTACCGTTCAAGCATTTTAAGAGGAAGCAGCATGAACATAAGACCATGAGATGCTGGTAGTTCTCAACTTTAGCTGCACCTTCAGTCACCTAGAGAGCCTTAAACAGCACTGATGCCTGACTCCCGCCCTCGGATTCTGATAGTCTGGGCAATAGGATTAAAATTGTTCCCTAGGAATTCAAATGGCCGCCTAGGTTGAGAATGACCACTTACTGGGAATGATGTTGGTTCCAGGTGCATTAGCTATTATTTTAATGCACGACTGAATTCTACTTATAAAAAATGAGTTCATGAATATATTATCAGTGCCACCTATAGTTTTAACTTCAGGGCCAGTTTTATTTGTGTGTATATTCTCAGAACTCAACATCCCTAGACAATGGAGAAAAATTGAAGACATAGCTATCTCAATTTCACAAGGACAGGATCTTAATAGCCACTGAAATTTATATATTGATTATTGGTATATTCAATACACTTATCTGCTGGACTTTGAAATATGAAAAGACACTGTCTCTGTGAGTTGAGCCTTTTTGTGAATGTCCTAGAAGGGTGTAAGCAATTTTACCTTATTTCTGCTCACACCAGTGTCTCTGCCATTTCCTTGATCCTGGCATAGGCAGGCTGGGAGATGGCTCCAGAGCTGAGGGCAAAACATTGAGGCATGTAAGCTTTGCTGACTGCTTCAAAATTGCACTTGACTCCACTCCATTATCATCAACCATTGCTTGGCCAGTTTTGCCTGTGTAGCAAAACTCATTTATTCACTGTCATTTGCTTTGCAGTTCACTTATCCTTAGAAGATTTAAGTCTTCTAAGTTAAGTTTAAGATTTACAACTTTCCTCCTGGGTGGCTCTCTTAAAAACACCTCTGCAGACTTGGCCTCAGTCTCTAGCCCACAGCACTCCCACTCACAGCTGAAATTGGATATATTTCAGTCCGCAAAATCTGTTTTTTAAGGTACAAGAAAGAAACACTTGCCATATTCCTGACCATAATCAGAAGCTACTGGAGGAACACTTACCTATTAGCATCTTTGCAGTAACTGCTCTTGAAATCATTCTGAAGTACACTTTCTTCATCTCTTTGACCCTTGCCCTCTGCTGATTTCAAGGGGTTGGATGGTAATAGTGGTTGGCCCTTATCTTTTGGTCTTAAGGAACTGCCTTTAATCATTTACTTTATGCTCTTCAAACATGAGTTTTCTCAGTGCTGACACTCTGCTTAGGTGGAACCCAGACATAGCACTTTTTCTTCTTTCCAATGTTAAAACCAGATTAGCTAGCAATCTGTTAGCTTCCTGTCTTCCCAGAGTTCTTTCTATGTTGTACTAGAGGTCAGTTTTTCTTAGGATGTTTCCACTTAGGATAAAAAGGTTTATGCATGTCCTTATTTCTAAGCAATTCAAAGCATTCCCCACTGACATATATCCCACATTATAGAATGTTCTCAAACACAAGGGCATGATGTAAGGTATGACCCACTGTTGTGAGATCTGTGGCAAGTTTTCTGCAACCAACAAGCATCAGTGTTTGCAAATGGACCCAAGGACATCGCTATCATACTATTGCCATCACTCCTAGGCATTCCTACAAGGCTTTTTGAGAGAAGAAACACAGGATTTAAATGGAATACTTCCAGCCATTGCAGTCCAGCTCTTTCATGCCATAGTCTGCCAAACCACAGTAACCGACACTTTTATGGTGACTTTACGAGCGCAGAGATTCAGCCTCGGTGTAAACATGATGGTTTTGAAAGGTTCATAAAAAATTGCCTGCCACACCTTTCTTGGGGGTGGTTTCACCTATCTGATCTTTAAAGACATTAGAAAGCTAAGACAATATTAAATCAAGTACAACAGAAAACTATTACTAATAGACGCATAATACACATTAGGCTGGAAATGTATTCAAGGAGGGATGCTACATTGTCTGGACACTATATACATGCTTTATTTCATTAAATTGTGACGATTCTGCTAGTGATACATCATGAAATTGCTTAAATCTAAACAAATCCTCTTGTGGAGAAATATTTCCTGATCAGTCAATTCTACCCAACCAGTCCTGGCTATCAATATGACACACATCACAGCTGGACTGCTCACATGCAAAGTGTGTTCTGGGACAGCAACTCAGCCCTAACAGCTTTTACTCGTCATGCATAGTACCACTAAATGATATTCCATCCACACAGACATAAACCTTTGAAGCAGACACATCAATGCAGACAGACAACTTCCAATTTGTCGGTACCTCAAACAAACCACCTTAGATCATTTTCTTCTGAGAACAACTGAAGGGCCAGAGGGAGGGGAAAACCCTCATCAATGTACATTGCATGTTGGCAGCTGCTGATAGATTTGCTGATCTATTAGAAACTCCCAATACACACACACAAAAAAAGTGGAAAACTTTAGTTTGGTTGGATGAAAAAAAAGGCAATTCAAGTTGCCATTTACAATCTTAGTTTGTTCCACAAAGACAATGCTGTTTTACTAATGAATAGTTTCATAAAAAATTTATTTCACACTTTTATACAAATATCCACAGGTATTTTCTAATCATGAAATACTTTTACAATGCTAGTTAGTATAAAAATGTATCAAATGCAAACAGACCAGTGACTTGACTTGAGATGACATTTTTAACAATTATAAATTTAACCACCACTACATTCTTGTTTCCTGGTGTTAAACCACCCTTCCACCCCTGGCCCACCCTCCCCTTTTTAGGACATTCGTTTTTATAATACAGGTCTATAAACACTTTTAAAATATCAGCTTCTTGGCACACTAAAAAGCCAGTGCATTGGGTTCTAAGCAAGAAACTGAGATTTTAAACATGGTTATAAACTGTTTTAAGAGAAATTCTTGTAAACAAAATATCATTTGTAAAATTATTTTTGTAAATGAAAAATTCAAAGTACAACTACAATAATGTCCTTGGTATCTTACGAACAGAAGATGTCTGTGCAGGAAAAATTAAACTCCAAGCAGCAATGGCACATATAGCTGAATTCCATTCCTTTAAAGGTCAAGACACTATTACACTAGATCCAAACAAATTAGCACCTGTTTGCTGCTGCTTCCAACATAACATCATGAAGCACAATTGGCAATATGACTTTCATAGTTGTTCAGTCTCTATTGACATATAAACATCATGTCTTCCTCCTTCCCCTTCCATTTTTATAATTAAACAAAAAAAAGGTCAAGTTTTTCTTAGAGTGGTCCCAAAGGAATGTTGGGAATAAAGATGGGGGGAGGAGGCAAAGCAAAAACCAGAACACTGACACTGATTAAATGGTTCCAATGGGATCTAAAAACTTAAAAGCCAAGACGTTCTATCTGACTTTTGGCATCAGATAGTCAGTAGTCTTACACTGGATGGATTAGGAGCCACCAGAGGCACTCACCACTTCTTTCAAGTTCTGAAAATACAGTATCTGCAGCAGTGGCCACACTGTACTGACGTTCAATAAACAAATCCCTCGATTCCAAGAGTTCCTGGAAGTTATAGCACGAGAGTCAGAAACATCATAGTTTTCAACTCTAAAGTAGCCAATGTCTGGTAAGAAATATCTTCCAGTAACTCCTATTTCTTACACAAAGCTTTTGGGTTTGGAGGGACGAGTGAAGGCTCTCATGAAAGGAGATTTCTAATAACTTAAATGTATCTGTAAATGCTGACAACTCTCTGGTATACTTATAAAGACTTGTTTTCTTTTTGCACTAAAGTGTCTAGGTCAAACCAATGACCTCCCAGGTTCTAAGTCTGCCGTTTTAATCCAACCTGAAGAGGTAAAAGAGAATCTTTGGCCTGTTAGTCAATAACAAAATGGTTGGTAAAAAAGAAAAAAATAAATACCATGTACAAATAAGTATAACTAGCATTGAAGTCTGCTGCGCCTGTGAGTTTTAGTGAAAAGGGAGAATGCAACCTGTTCATGTTTGGTGTGAGCAAGTATTCACACATTCAGGAAATAAGAGAAAAATGTCGGGATGGCAGCCACACCTTCTATTGCACATTTAATTTAAGATAGCACTTGCAATTGACACACAACTACCCCGATGGCACAGTCTTGCCATGTGCTCCAGTCCTATGGGAAGAATGTTTGCGGGGGCAGTGAGGAGGTCAGCGCGGTCACTCTGTTAGTGCACTGATTGTGGGCTCCTTATTCCAGCTACACTATCAGGAGGATGTCACATGAGCACAAATGGACAGGCCGTTCCCCAGCCACTCCAAAGTGTTTCAGCCACATTGAAAACAAAGGCAACCCGGCAAGTTAAATTAAGTCAGTTAAAGAAAAATCCAATTCCAACAGTCTTAAATTTGGTTGTGCAGAACAAGGAGCCTTGGGCTAAGTAACAATGTCCACAGATAAACTGTAGGTTCGTACTGTGTTTGAAATTAATGTTCATGTACGGAACGGGTTTATCAATCCATTTGAATTTCTGAGTTGGGGAAAAAAGGCAGTTTAGGTATTGTGTAGCTTTTCTTTTCTTTCTTTCTTTTTTTGCTTCCCTAGGAGTAGCTTTCGTTTTCATTCCACTTTGCGATCCATTGTTTTTTTTCAAGGTTATCATACTTTTCATCTTTGATCTCTCGCTCTTCTTTTCGGATCCTGACAGCATGGTACTTGGGAACGCTATCATCGTACCTAGAGCGTTTAAAGAATCCACACTGGAGAAAGGAAAAGAAAAAAAGAAACAAATTAAATCACCTCAAAAAAAAAAAAAAAGGCAAGGACATGAAATGGGAATGTCTATGCTTTCTGTTCAGCTATACCTACCCCGTGGACTAAGAAAAAAAGACATGGTTTTCCTATGATAGAGAAAGAACGAGGAGGTCGAAAGTAGTGACCACAGTGAGTGGGCTAAAAGAAGAGCTGTAAAACCAGAAGAAAAGTACTTTTTCATGTTATCTTCACATTTTGCACCAATGTGAGCTACCTCTTAATCAATCAGTGCTTCCATTTTTAGTAGTCACAAGATTATGTATAAAGGGTCTAATTTTCTGATGATTAGACTACGTTAAGGAATAATTTCTTGAAAACTCATAAGCCAAAGATGATTCCATGCTCCTCTTTCACTAACAAAGTGGAAACCAGGTCCCAGGTGCTTTACAAAATACTATTTAAATTTGAATGTATTCAAGTGGTCAACTTAAGAATATTCTCACCTCTGAGTCTCGAGCACACATATCTTTCCTTAGCTAGAAGGTCACTACCTGGACTTGCTGCTGTGCTTCTAAACTAAGCTGTTTCATTAGTGAAACATGTAGTAACTGTGCCCTGCGATAAACTCAATCGTGTACTGAACAAAACTGGGGAAGGCATCACCAGGTTATTTCAGAGCACCCTCTTGTTTTCTGTTCTTCAGAACAACATTACATTGAAATTGTTGATGAATATGTATCTTAGTTTAGAAAATATTCAATCTGACCCAAAGTAGATTTTTATTGAGAATGTATCTGCAAGTTTTAAAATCAAATTATTTTAATGAATAAAATATAAGTGCCTTTTTAGAAAAAAGGTGTATTTTCTATTTTAAATTTAAAGACGCTAATAGTAGGGTAAGGAATGTGACTATCATGTGATATTACAGAAACAGAAAATCTTTATGTTGGGTGATGTCATGTTATAAAAATGTCAGGGGGCACAATAAACTTATGTGCATAGTTATTAGGAATGATGAACAACAGAACCATTGTTAGGAATCAATAGGAATGATAGACAAAGAAGTTTTATTCTGAGACCATTTCTACCTGGACTCATTTATTATTTCACACCATAAAAGCCAAAATATCATTTATTGCAAAATGTTGACTTTTTCCCTATTTAAACAAAGAAGGAAGTCAAGGGTGACACTGAAATTGAAATGGAAATGTTGGAACTCATCATGACAGTGCCATGAAGGGGATTATAAGAGTAATCAAGGGTGATACTGAAATTGAAATGGAAATGTTAGGATTCATCATGACAGTGCCATGAAGGAGATTACAAGAGTAATCCTCTCATGCCCACAGAAATAGAAAAAGGAACTGCTGCCAAATTTCTGTTTCCATGGATCTACAAATAAGAAAAGCAAAACATGAACTTAAATCAACTGAGACTCGAGGTTGAATAAAATTTCTAGCACATGAATCAAGGTCAAACTCTATTACAACATACTGAAATTAAAACTGCACAGAACATTTCCATACTGGAATTTTATATATTAAGGTCACTTTGGTAAAGAACCATCTTCTGAAATTGCCCATAATGTCCATCATGCCAATAGCCGTGGTTTGTTGTAATGGTCTTTGACCTGGAGTAGAGATGCAGGAAAAGGAGGTTGCATGCTTAGCTAGCATAAAACAATTTCTGAGCAACAATAAAAGCATTTCAAGCCTTCCCCATCACTTTACAGCAAGGAGATAGAAGAGGACAGTGAGAAAGGCTCCTTATCAAGAGAAATGTTTTCAACATGCAATGGGTTAATTAGACATTGACACAAGCTTCTATCTGTGGGGAATTCCAAAATGGACAAGAAATCTGGAATGATTTCTCATGCATCTTTGAAATTCCAAGTGGGATGCTACACACTTGTTTAACATCACATGGCAAACTGGAGGCGTAAGACCTCCTTTATGTATACAGACTAATTTTCTTCATAACTGTGGGTGATGTCTGACAACAACACAGAATAACTCACCTGCAACGAAAGATTCTTTGTGCATTAAAAAAAAAAACAAAAACAAAAACCACGTACACATACAACTGAGCTTTCAAGTGAAATGAAATAAAATCCAAGCAAGGCAAGCCAGTGTGGACATTTGGAAACATCTGTTAATGGGACACACACAGCAAGCGGTTGCGCTGAACGTTAGCCACCACAACCATAGCAGGTCCCACAGCTAGCAATTAAAAAACATTGATCAATTACCAATTACAGAAGTAGATCAATACTATGCATCAGAAGTAAGCCTCTCTTTATCAGACGGCTGAGCATGGATCTCAGCCTTGTGATATGTGGCATCATAATGATCTTTCTTATTTCTCTTGAAGAAACCACACTACAAGGAAGCAAGGTATTTAGTCAGTTTTACAGTTTGTGTATAAGAACTAAACAAAAGAAAATCTCAGACTTTAACCTGTTTTCTATTTATAGCCTGTTTGTAAAAAGATCACTATGAAGCAAGCAAAATGAACAGTCACTATCCATATTCAATGTATGAGCAATCAACCCACCTCTGTAATACCTGGGATCGCTGGTCAGAAATTCATGTGGATGACTACTGTCAACTAATTTATTTTTCTAACAAATGTTGAGGACAAAAATCACCCCCAAAAGGGGAAAACACACATCTGATTATAGCTTAGGTGTTTTCTTCTTGCAGAAGAAGGCAGACTCTAAAATAGGTGAAAGATTGACTTCCACGGTTTACTGAGACAAAGGTTAAAGAACAAAGTCTCCAAATCCAAGTAAAAAAGATAATAAATTCTCCTACCTCTTACAGGAAATCTTAAGGAACAAGTACCATTTACTTAAGGTCTTTGGAGATTTGTGGGGGAATTCACAACACAAATTCAAGCACAGCATCATGGCAGGATGATTGTTGTCATTTTCCCAAATTCTGAACCACCATTTAGCTCTTCAGTGATATGACCTTATACCCCCAAGATTAGGTAACGTTACATGAGTATAAAAGTATCATTCCATTTCTACTATAATTTCTGTCATTTGATGATAGAGAACTTTCTCTATTTACTTTTATCTAGTTCATAAGACCATGGAACTGCCCTTTGAAATATAAACTGGTCAAATAAATCTCTGCCACACAGGAAATTCTGCCTCCTACTCTGGTGATACCTGAACGTAAAAGTCCTGGTCTGCTTTGTACAGCAGGGTAGCCACTAACCTCAAGCTAATTTCAATTTAAAATGTAATACTTGAGTTGCACTAGACTTTCCACATGTGTCTTAGACACTATTCATATTAGACAGTGAAGCTTGAAAACTTTTCCAGTATTGGGTTGAGAAGTCTAGAACTTGATTGAGATTAACTTGGTGTTTACTTGTGACTTGCAAATAACTGAGGGGAAAAACCAGTTGATAGATCTAGTCAACTTTCAATAACCCAGTCTAGCAAATCGGGTGGGGGAAAGGAATGAACCAGGAACTGAGAAATCTGGACCTGCCTGCAACTTGGTAACATTCTTAACACCCCCTAGGCATGAACATCTAAATGAAGGTGAAACCTGGAGGACTTTTCTCTTTTATCCACAAACGCCTATACAGAATATGAACATACAAAGGAGAGAAGAAACTGCTCTGGTGAAGGCGAGTTATTAGTCCTAGGCCCACCTGCCTGGCTTAGTCTGGACACCTACAGAGACGTACAACACATAGTTAAAGGTCAATGAGCTCAGAGTCCTTTCTGAACTTAAAATTCTATGGCTTTAACATCAAAAAAAGGTTGAGTTTCAGGATTCAGAGAACTAGTAAAAAAAAAAGTAATTTCACGTCAGGGTTGTAGATGTTGTCTTCTATTGTTTTAGAATGTACACATGAGTCTAGATGTTGTAGACCTTCCAAAATACAACAAAACACTAGATCATTTAGTCCAACCTACTTATTAAACAGCAAAGGTAAACTAATGCCCCAGGGAGGTAAAATGATTTTCCCAAGATTATACAGCTTGGGTTTCTTGATTCTCTATCCACTGCTATTGTCATGCTCATTAAAAACTGCCAATATGACCTGCTTTGGCAAAGATCATCCTAGTGACCTCTTTTGGAAAGCTCAGGAAGGCCATCTGCAATTATCAAACCTCAAATTCAGTGTCTGATAGCAAAATTAATTTTCTAGGCATCTCCTATATTAGAGGGCTGTGTGATAGTCAGGGAGACCTTCTCAGAATTAAAACTGGTTACTGTGCCAAGAAAGAAGACTCATGACACGACAGATACCAAGCTTCCTACACATATCTGGAGAAAAGGGTGGCAAAAGGAAAATAAAAAAGAGGCCCCATATTGGAAAGTACGAATATCTTGAACCCCTGTTCATTATACTCCTGATTTGGTTTCAAGGAAAGGATAAAGATGGTCAAACCTAAAGAATACTCTTAAGGGTCATAATTCTTTATCAAAACTTTCAGAACAAGCCATGCTTGGGATCCCAGAATTTTTGGTGTTTTAAAAAAAGTAACATGCTGCATACACAATGCCACTGTGATCAAAATATTAATATTTTTACAGTGTAACTAATGAATAAAGAATATAGATTATAAATAGCCTCTCCTCATATTATGACAAGTTTACTGCCAAATAAGTCATTTCAAACCTAGTTTTCAGAATTTTTTGGGAATTTGTAATTACAGATAAGAGACTGTAGACTTCCATTACTTACTGAAATAAAAATAAAAATCTATAGGTCGTAGTTTTTGCAAGAGAAGTATGCATTTAACTCATACAGATTTTTAAATGCAGCCTATTTAATAGTAAGAAACAAAAATAAGAGACTGTGTTTTATTTACAGTCAAAGGACCAAATTCTAATGAATATGATACTGAACTGCCATCTTGTTTCATACAGGCTCTGACTTCTTTGAGATGGCATGATTCTTCATGTCTTGGTTTTCTATCCCTAATCCAGCTGTACCTATAACAAAACTCATGACTAAAGAAGACTTTTTTTAGCAGAGTTATAAGTTCAGATTAACGTGCGACCCAACAATTTGACTTGGAGCCAAAATTTGACTTAGATGAAGAAAAATGCTATTCTAGTACTACTGGGTTGTCAGAAAAGCCATGATGTATTTTTGTGTGCATGTGTGTTTCCTATACAAAAATGCATCAATACTTTTCTGGCAACCTAATAATAAAATGTGTTATTTGTCAAGCATATGAAATTATGTGAAAATCAACAAAATGTATATACTTAATAAATTTCTGATACAAACCCTATGCTTTTAAACGAAAAGTATTAAGTATAGGCATTCACTGTACATTTCTCTAATTTACTGTAGGCTGGGAAAGTTTCATAACAAAATAGGGAAGAAGAAGCAATAAAAAGAAATGGATATATTGTCAGTGTTAATTCACATTTTGAAACGTGAAAATAAACTTGTATCACAAAATTCAAGTGTCAGATATGACTTACCTTCCAAAGTAAAAACACTAATAGAGCAAGCATCAAAATCCCAGCAAGAATTGCCACTAGGATGATCCACAAAGGAACTCCTGAATATTGAGCTGCAGTTTTTGAGGGAAACACTGTCACACGAACCTGTGGGACAAAAAAAAGGGGCAAAGTCAGCATTAACCTAGCGAAAGTTAATTCATAGAGTTTACTGTTGTAATTCTGCTTCCAGAAAAGTGGGACAGTGCACTCCATAGACAAATGAAATGCCTTTTTGATGCAAGATCCTTTTCCTCATTTCAAGAGGCATTCCTTGGAGATCTTTTTCCAGACTCTGGAAAATAGTCGATTGTGTTTTGACATGCTATTTCGTAGCTAACTTAGCTTCAAGCTTTTTTTGTTATCAATAAATATAGAGAAATTTATATAGTGAGCTATTACTTTTCACCAAGTTTCACCAACTATCAGTACATAGGAATCTTATTCCAACTATACAGCCTGTTCTCTTATTGATTTTCAGCAGTGGAAATGAAAGAGCCAGTTTATGCACAATTAACCTACATTCCTCACTCATATCTTAAAGATACTGTGAAATATAAAATCAGGAATGGAACCACATGGCTTGCATCATTTTAACTTCTTAGGAAATCAAACTAAGGACCTCAGAAACAACTTCTTGAAATGGCCTGGTGCCATCTTCTACAACGACATGCAAACTGGCTCTTATACTCACACAGAAACAGCTTAAGAGATTTCAGATGAAGCAGTGAAGAAACTTAAACTCTAAACATCTTATAGTTGGCAAATAACAACTAAGTACAGATAGTATTTACTCAAAAACCCAAAACGTTGCTTATGGCAGCTCTTAACTCATGTAATGGGTGTTGAGAATTCAAGTGGATTTCTGTGATGCCACAAGACATTTTTTCAGCACATTGAAAAAAAAGGTGATGACTACAAACATGACTCTATAAACTACACTGATTGAGACCTACCAGTTTGAGGTTTCTAATATTTCTGAATTAATACAAAGGGTAAACACTTAAAGGAAGCACTGAACTTCTGAGAAGTCAATATTCTATATTAGCAGTGAATCCATATGCTGCCTCAGAGACGTGTCCTTCAACATGTCTCTACCGCAATTCTTTTTATCTCCTCTATCTGCTTATGCAAGAAATCAGCTTGCCAACTTCATTTGATTTCTAAAAATACTTTAAAGCAAGAGAACTACTTTGCTTTAACCATTTCATAGAAGGAATTCAGTGTTTTCAGCACAAACACCTTTACCAGCCAAGTTTCCTGGCATGCTCATGGAGGCAGCCCTCAGGCTCCTACCCCCAGGCTGGCCGCATGGCTCACTTTGCCCCAGTGTCCCAGGTTGAAGCCAAAGTAACCTTCTCTTGAGGTCACAAGGGTATCCATCAAGAGAGAAGAAAGAATGGCAACCAACTAATGAAGACATAGCTGATGAGACTGGTAAACTGACTGTTCTAAAAGATAAACATTCAGTTGGTCTGTGATGTGGCTCATTTAACTTTAGTTCCTGGTATCGAGCACAGAGAGGCACATGGTAAGTCCTTGGGGACAAGGTGACAACTTAGGAGGTCCACCCTAATTTGCAGGAATGCGTTCTGATAAATTTGGAAGAGACTGACATGTGGCCAGGAGAATGAGCCTAATAGTAACACCATATACCAGAGCCTTTTAAATGGCTGGTAATTGGGGGAAATCACTCCCATAAATGGCTGCAATCCAACAGCATCAGAACGGAATAAGGTAATTTTTCATTTTGCAGACTGGAGCAAAAATCACTAGACAGGTGGAAATTTAGCTTTAATTCTAGCACTTCAAGTCCCAGGGATGGCTACCTTCAAACCAGAGCCTGGAACCTTCTCAAAATTGTAAAATAGGGCCTCCTTGGTGGCATAGAGGTTAAGTCTCAGCCCTATCACCACTATGGCCCGAGTTTGATCCAGGCCAGGGGGGTGACCCACAGGGCACAGCAGACCTCTTCTGTCTTACCTGCTGCTCCCCTCAGCAATGTATTTCAGTCTATCTGCCTGTTCTACTCCCCACTCTGTGAACCATCTCACCCACCACACCTGTGGCCTGCACCCCAGTTCTTCTATGTAATAAATAAACCTTTTAAAAAATAAAACTGTAAGACAACTTAATGGGCAGTGGGCAGAGAGGACTGACACAAGGTGCTGGGCTACCCACACCCTGGGCAAATGTACTCTGCCTAGCCAGTCCGTGAGCAAAGCCACTGCCTGTGGTCCAGGACAGAGACAGGCCACTCAGCAGGACTTTCTGGTTTGTTTCCTTAAATTAAATTTTTCTGGTAGGACTGCCATTCTCTCCAACTGGGGCTGGAAATTAGGAGGAAACTGGCCTTAGAATTAGGGACGGGAGACGCAACTGTGAGCTGTGGTTCTCAGAGTTTCAGGAAGCCTGTCTCGTCACAGCAACTGGTTTTGGTGGACAGCGACAGGTTGTGAGCATAAATTACTTCAACAACTTTTTTTCCTGTTTCATTAAAATCTAGGCCTTTCCACAGAGCTCACCTATGCATGTGAACTTCACCTGTTTTGTACCTGCAAAGGGAAAAAGTGCTCTAACTCTGTGGATGCATTTCATCCCGTCAGCAACGAGCACTGCTTAGACCACATTAGCTTGCCAGCTGCCAAAATCGTTTCTGAAATCACTCTGTAATGTAATACCTTCTGCTTTTATTGAGCATCATGTAAGAAATCACCTGATGAGGGGATTTTCATGTATTTTACAAATCTCTCTCGGAAAGACCCCATTGCCAGAGTGAGTGCCCCTCATATCAGAAATCCATTTTATAAATGTATCCATGTCTCCAGTTCTCTGCAGCTAGATCCAAAAACGAAAATCTCATTCCCCTGAAGAATGATGGCTCTATTTTTGCTTATTATATTCTCTTTTTCTTCTGGTAAGCCAGGAAGCTTAGATGCTCTCTCCCTCTTCCTTAGGAATGAAGTTGGAAGTTATATCCAGCCTACAAATAATCTTCTCCTGTCCCTAAACCCATGGCTTAATTCAATAATTCTCTCCTGGTTCACTGTCTCCTAGACCATAAAATTCTTAACAATTGACACTGTATCTTATTAAACCTTGTTTCTTTAGCATTTTGCCAGAAAAGATTCAGCATGTCCTTATTAAGTGCTTGTTAACTGGACAGATTTAATTTAAGTGATGCTAAAATGTAATCATCTTATCTGGTTCAATTAGGTGATCAGCTCTCTCTGACTTTGTTAGAACAATGTCTTCTAGAGAAGTGAACACAAAGTTGTGATTGGTTGGGTTATAACAAAACCTTCTCTCTCTCTTTTTTTATTTTTAAGACAAAATTAGAGTAAAAACAATGGGAAGAAGTTTCAATATTAAGACCAAAGACAAAACTGAATTACTTAATCTCTTTTGTCTCTATCTCCAAAGAAAAATGATAAAATGAACCAAGATAGAGATGACACTGAAATCTGCAGTAAGTTGAGGGAGTGAGAAAGCATCCTAACACTTGAACTCTTTATGCCCCCCGAAACTGTACCTTAAAACACGAAAGAACCACACTGACATGATAGCTGAGTTATTGTATATCAGAAATCAGATAACAGAAAAGGCATCAGAAGAATAGAGATAAGAAAATGTCACCTTTATCCAAGAAAAATGGGACCTTGTTAAGAAACCAGTAATCCTGTTTAGAAAAGTTTACCATTTACTATGCAAATCAAATAGGCCCACAGCAAAGTTCAAATTCCCATTAGTAGTCATGAGTTCTACTAAGAACATGAAATGACCAAGAGACCCAGCCACTAGACTGGGTAGCAGGGTCCCCAGTTCCATCATCTTCCTGAAAATAAGAAAAATCATGGGCCAAGGTCTGGTCTCAACTGCACATGCGGTCCTATGACTCTAAGGGAGACACCTTCTTCTGACTCGGTGTTCTCATCTGAATTTGAGATTTGGGGCCTTAGGGGGACCAAATGTCAGAGTCAGATAGGAGCTTGAAGTCAGACATTATAGGTTCCATCTAGGAACCCAGTACACTCTCTGTCCCTGCTTTTTTTTTTTTTAAATGAAATATATGTAATGTCTACTTTGGCATTCCTGTGAAGTTTAAATGACAGTACACAGGTAGAACATCTAGAGAATTACAGGCATTTCATTAAAGCTTTATGAATGTTAGTCCCTTTAAAGTGTTTTTCTTTCCAGCTCTAAAAACTCTGATTCTCTCTGTTACTGATTTAAAGTTACAGAAAGCTATAGCAGCTATCTTTAGTCAGAGAGGTAGAGTAGATTCTTGGGGAAGGACTGATTTAGTTGGCAGCTCTTTACAATACCTGGTGATGTGATGTAGACAGCGGGGCTGGAATTTATGAGGTCAGGGTGACTTAGTGCAGGTGAGCCCGAGACCGGCAGGCTTACCCCACTTGTTCCAGGATCCTGCCAGCCTCAGCATCTGCTCAGACAAATGTATTCTGGCTTGGATATAAAAGTAAACATCCAAGGCTGTTTACTCTTTAGAAACTGGAATGATTAGGGACACTCACTGGCTTCTTAGCTGCCTAAAGCACTAAAACCGGAACATTTTCAGAAGCAGATCAGTAGATGAATCAAAGAACAGTGATTCACCATCTTTCTTTCTCCCCTCCATCTCTCTTTTTTTTAAAGATTTATTTATTTATGCATACAGAACTGGGGTACAGGCCAGAGGTGCAGGGGCAGAGAGAGGCTTCACCAGAGACAGTGGGGAGCAGAACAGGCTGATGGACAAAGTACACTACTGAGAAGAGCAGCGGGCGGGTCAGGAAAGGCCTGCCACGCCATGTGGGTCACCTCCCAGGCGGGGATCGAACTCATGTGGAAGTGGCTTTAGCTTCTCAATGCTGTGCTTTAACCCACTGCGCCAAGAGAGAGGGCCCTCCCCTCCACCTCTTTTACAAAACACCCCTATTCATGACAGTCTACTTTACCTCAAGTGTCTGATAAAAGCCCACTGGGTTCTCAACCCCCACAAGAACTCCTCACTAGGGGTACACCACAAGCCTCTGCTCCTAGCCTTGTCAATATCTTCAGTGACCTAGAAGGTACACTACTCAGTTTTGAAAAAAATAAAGCTTGCAAGAATACAGTTTAGAGAGAACAAATGACCAGGTCTCAATAATTATATCGCAAACATTAAACAACAGACCAAAAGCAAATCATACAAGATGTGGACATACATTTGAAGGCATGTATTTAGATTTTTTAAAAACTGCTCAAGGATGGGATATGGGAAATACAGATCAACAGCAAACCCTGATGAAAACACTTGGAAGTTTTACAAGCACACAGACTGCTAGAAATGTAAACACAATCCTCAGCGAATATCTAAAAAACAAAACATGAGGCTGGGCTGACAGGATTTGGGGCCAACACAGTGGGTGGTATAGAGCCAGCTTAAGCAGATTTAGGGGATTACAGGGAGTTCCTCTGCCTCACCGAGAGCCACTAAGCCTGACTGACAACTGAGTGCAAGAGGTCTGACCAGCGTGGCAGTGCTAGTTTGGCTGGTAACTGAAGAGCATGGTGCTGAGCTCTACAGAGAATAAGACAAGTCCAAGAAGGCCTCCAGTGGCCACCAGTTATTTCCATGGCTGCCACGTGGCAGAGATGGACTAGTTTCAAGAAAGAACCAGGGACTGAGTTGACAAAATTCAACTGTGCTTTCCTACATAATGAGATCTCATAACGGTTGCTAACCACACAAGGCATTTGTGACCCCGCAATGCAGTGAGGTTACCATCTTTGGGGGCACTCCAACAATGGCACCAGCATTTATTAGGGTAAAAAAGGTGTGGAGGTTCTACAGAGCTGGGAGCTGCTCTATTCTTTCATTGAGCCAATAACTCTCAATCTACCACATGTGCTGCAGAGCTAGATGACCCCAGATCAGTGATTCTGTTAAAATACAGCTTGGGGTAGTAGCCCCTTAACGTCACTGTCCTGATTATTTTTTCATGAGGCCTAGGGCAGCAGTGAGGGAAATAAATACCAATGAAACCTGTCCTCTACCACGAGCAGGGGAAGGAGGAAAGAATGATTTGCTGTGAACTGAATGAAGATGGGCAACCTCTCACCTGAGTGCCAGCATTTGGCAATTTTATATTATCCGTGGCCGCAATTACATCAATGGAAGCCCGCACGAGAATGTCCAAGTAGTTCATTTTGGAGTATTCCTGTTTTCAAACAAAATCGGGAAATGCATAAGAGAGTGACACATGCATTGATGGCCAATGATTTGTAGGGGTCAGTCTCACACAGGGCATACCTCCAGAAATGTGCTGTTCCATAACCGGGAGCGCAGAATCACAGAGGCCTTACTGTCCAGCCCCTGCAGCGGGCACTTGATGTTAACACAGTTCACGTTCACAGTGCAGTTCTAGAGAGGGAAGGGAAAGCAGCAGTTACCATGCAGCAGCCTGGGGAAGACCTACTCCCACCCTCTGTCAAGTATTCATAGCTCTCAATGATACTTACAAGGGTCTGGTATTTTCTTTCAGAAAATAAAGAAAATTTTCTGCTGTCAACTATCTGTTTTTCAGCAATTTCCCGTTTTTTCCTTGTGCTGTGAGACTCCTGAAAAGCATTATATCCAAAAAAGGGCTACTTAATTCTTTGTTCATTCTATACAAATCTCTTGAGCATACCCTCCAAAATGTCACATTCACATAATCAACAATTCATATTCACCCTTTATCATCACCAAAGATGCAGAAATAATTTAAGTCTAAAATCAGCAAGTGTTATTACAAAGCTCACTTCAAATTTACTAATTTATCCCCATCTTTGACCTAACAGTCAGGGAAAAGGAAAGATGCTTTCTTTGTTCCTGTGTCTCCTCACCAAACTGAGCATCCTGAGGTCAGGCTTATGTGACTTACTCAAAAAAGAGTACTGAAAACTAATCATGTAAGTTTTAAAATTACATTTTCCTTAAAATAGATTATAAACAACAGAAAGCCTTGTTTTTCCAAAAATGACAATAGAGGATCACATCTATCCATGCTACTTTGTCACTGTGAACTAGTCACTGATCATACCACCCACCTTAGAATTTAAAATAAAATAAACAAACATGTAACGACAAAGCAAATCTTCATCAAACTGGAGCATCATGACAAACCAGTTACATAAGCATGTAGCAGTAAAGAGGAGAGCTGCGACTGAATGCAGAATCTATCTCTTTACTAGCTGAGTTTCCTGCTAGTTAGTGTCTCTGAATCTCATTTTCTCATCTCAGAAATGTTGGGAATATAAAAAATACTTCATAGGACTATCAGGAGAATGAAATAAGAGATGTATGTGGTGAGCAAGCAAAGCGCTCACCATAGTGCTTGAGATATGCTAAGTACTCAATTATTATGTACCGTTAAAAAAATAATAATAAAAACTTTTCAATGTCACTCGCTAAGAGGTCCCATGATCTGTTTTTCCTGCGACTTAACATTTGGCTGATCAAATTCCTGTCTGACTTGATTACAGTTGAGTAATAAAATAAAAGAGAAGTAGTAACTCCCAAAGAAAACATAGAGGACTATCAGTTTCCTGAAAAAAGCAATGATTTTTCCCCTTCAAAGTCAGATTTTCCTTTTTATATCTGTGGAGACAGGTAAATCCACCAACATACCTTTAACTTCAGGAGGTTTATTTCACTTTGTGGCTCACAAGCTATCTTTTCCAATCCTTTGGATTCTACTTTCACCAAATAAAGCAACCATTTGCCATTGCTAATTTCTTTTGGCCATTGGATATTCAAGGTTGCTGTGCCGAGTTTTTTAAGAGGTTTGCCCAAGTTAATTACCTGTTAGAAAATAATATTATCTCAGTGTAATTTTCTTAATATAAATCAAGCAGGAGTTCCTATGCTAAGAGAAAAAAGTCAAAATATCTGGCACAAAACCATAATGAAAGCACAGCCTCCATAAAAGGACTATAGAATGAGTAAACCAGATAGAGCTTTTGTGCTTAAATATGCCTGTCAATAAAAAAAAAAAAGGAAGAGAGAAAAAAGTTCAATGCGAACCGATTGCTCATTCAGCCCAGAAGTAACCGCTGTGAGCAGCGGGATTTGTGGTGTAGATCCACAGTGCTCCCAACATGCTAGTGTCATGCCTGTGAAGAGAGAGCTCTGTAGCCTCCATGTGGTCAATGATCAAGTCTGTGCCAGCAGGTACCAGCAACCTGCTCCTGGGAAGCCCTACCCACTTGGAAAATGAAGCTGCTTTTGTGCTCTCTACCCAAGGAAGACGGGGGCAGCAACTGAGAGATTCTGAGAAAAACCATTACAGGAGCTGGACACCTGTGATGCCAGGCTGGCAAGAGAGCAACTTCTTGCAGCAGAAGGCAAAAGAGGTAAGGAGGATTGTTCTGGTCCCACAGATTTCTCTTTCAGCCACACTTTTTTCAGGCATCATAAATGCCATCATACCTGTGACAGCTGGTCTGTGATGCTAAGGGACTCAAGAAAGAGAATCCAGTCTCTCCTCTTGCAGAGTCTGGTGAGCCATTTTAGACTGTCACCTCATCAGTCACTATTCAGGAACATGATCTGAGCTTATGGGACTTGAACTCATGAATGAGTTATAAGCCAAATGTGTGCCATGCATTTATGTTTGCTCAACTGGTCTTTAGAGTGCTTGTAAATCATTGCAGCCATACCAGAAAGCGGTATGGAGTTTCCTCAAAATACTTAAAATTGAAATTTCCTACAATCCAATTACCTCACTGCTGCATATTTACCCAAAGGCTATGAAGACATTAATTCAAAGAAATAACATGTACTCCCATGTTCACTGCAGCATTGTTTACAGTAGTGGGGAGCTAGAAACAACCTAAGAGCCCACTGACAGACAAGTGGACAAAGACGTGTGTATATATATATGTATGTATATACACATACATACACACACACACACACAATGGAATAAAGTCATCTATAAAAAAAGATGAAAACTTACCATTTGAGAAAATCATGCTTAGTGAAGCTAGATGAAGAAAGTCAAACAACCTATGTTTTCACTAACAGGTGGTACCTTCTGTCTAAATAAAAAATCTTTTAGACAGAAGACCAACTTAGTGATTATCAAAAGAGAAGGAGAAGAAAGAGTCAGATGAGGTGAGGGATGATGGCTAAAATTGAACTTGTAGTGGTGAGGTTCATTTAGTAATCAGATTATACTGTGATATACACCTGGAGCCTATACAATGCGACTTGTATAAATTTTTTTTTTAAAGTCATGATTGCCCACTTTGAAACAGTTTGAAGAATCATGGCTTTTCCTTACTCACACATCCACGTTACAATCGCAATCACAAATTGGGTTTGTGAAAGGTAAGAGAACATTAACCACAAAACTGAAGGGAAACGACCTTATGAGAGAGAAGACATCAAGTATAACACATTCTAGGTCAAATTTAGGTCGTTTTGAGATTTTGCTTTATGGACTCTGGGAGGGTGAACCAAGGTTACTTTGTCTCCAGACTGTATGTACAAACAAATTCTTTAATAAAGAAAAAGACTAAACTGAACTGGACTTGAACAAAGATTGATACTGAATGGGTGAAGGACATGCTAAAACTGTCTAGGGACATTTATCATAATTATTTATATTACTTATTAAAATTACGTAGGCAAGATAATATATAATTTAAGTTAGCCTCTGGTAAATGGACCAGCTGCTGTTCCAACTTACCCTGAATTCATACTCTATTAAACTTCCCACTTCGTCTTCAGAGTGCATAGCTTGTTCACCAACAACTGTACCTCCAAAATACACCTGGGAAGGTTTAGCAACTCTGTTAAATTAAAAAACACCAGTTTTAGTGAGGATTATAAATGGTCCTTTCAAAACCTGATTTGTTATGCTAAACACAAACACTTACCCGGAGACCGATAAAAGCAGTTCAATAACCACTTTTGCTTTAGCTGTAATTGAAGCCAAATTATCTTGATTGCTTGTTCTGAAAATGAAAAGGAAACAATAGGGTTTTATTTTAACAGTCAGTTCTCTCGTTACAATTACACTTCTTTTATGATTTAGATCAGGGCCAATTCATGGACTGCTATGTTTTCATGAAATAATTCTGAATGGAAAGGTTGAAGTAACTCACGTTTCCAACTTCAGATTAATATCCAGATCTGTGGTTTCAAAGGTGACTTCAGTTGTACTTAAAATCAAATAAAAAGTGACCTAAAAAGCAGATATACCCATTAGCACAGGTCACGTACAGCGGCACTGTAATGGTATTTAAAACAGTGAAGACAAGATGGGGCGGCATCACCTACATTGGAATTTCTCTTAAAAGGGTTTCCAAGCTCACAGTCAACTTGTGAGCCATTCTGGTTGGCAACACAGCTCAACTGTTTCTCCTGGAACAGGAAAGCACACTAGGTCATATTGTGTTCACATGGCACCTGGCAGGTTTCCCTCCCGCCTGGTCAATAAGGCACTTACAGGGAAAGACCTAAGTTCCCTATGTGCAGAATATGTCAAGGTATCCGGAAACGTGGCGATGAGTTTAGCTTCGTGAGCGTCGTCACCATCTTTTGTGGGGTCTGTTGCACTGGAAGGGCTGTTGGTCACGGTTATTTCTAGGGCAATGTCCTTCTGATCTTTCAGAACTAATTCAGGTATACCTTTATGACTATAAAAAACACACATGAAAAGAGGGAAAATGACTAAGTTCTGAAAATATTTCAAAAAGCCACTGCAAAGCCAGAGTCATATTTGCTAGTGCTACAGAGTGAATCTTACATTGGTAAATAAGAAAACTTGTCTTGATTTGCTTCTCGAGTACAAAATTTGTATTCTAGTTTAAGGTTGCTGTTACATACATTGTCATCTCCACATCCCTCTTTTAAGAAGTGCACCTGTAGGAAAATAAAATGATGGTAATTTGTGCCACTTAGGTCTCAGAAAGGTATCTAAACAGGTAACTGGCTGTTTCCATATAGTATATTTCCCTGTGTGACAATTACCATAGCAAAAGTCAAGCTCCCTATATACTCCGCCATGCATCCAACCCCCACTCTGACCTAGAACAACTGTGTTTTAGGAACTCTGTGGGCAGAGCATGGAGCTAGAGTGGTAAAGCTGGTAGCCACCATGTTCTAAACCTGAATCTTAGCTGTGTGGCTTTGGGAAAGTCACTTAACCTTCAGAGTCTGAGTTTCCTCCTAGGAATGTGCGGATACCACTACCCTACTCTACAGGATCACCGTAAAAATTATCAGTAACAATAATGATTCTACTTTAAGACACTATTATATATTTTAACTCATTTACCTTCACAAAAGATCTATGACAGAGATACTGTTATGGCTCCTCTATACCAAGTTTAAGGTCAGGAAAGCAAGTGGCACAGTGTACCTGTCTAGCTCAGCACCAAGTAGGGAGCTTGATAATCTGAGAAATAGTTGCCTGTTATGTTTAACATGGCTATGGAGCCGGGAATACAGACAAGAAATATTCATGTGATAATGACATCAGAAGTATATAAAAATGTAAGGAATCGGCCCTCTCTGGTGGCGCAGCGGGTAAAGCACAGCACTGAGAATCTAAAGCCGCTTCCGCATGAGTTCGATTCCCGCCTGCCCCGGAGGTGACCACATGGCATGGCAGACCTCTCCTGACCCGCCCACTGCTCCCCTCAGCAGTGTACTTTGTCTATCTGCCTGTTCTGTTCCCCGCTCTGTCTCTGGTGAAGCCTCTCACCACCCCAAGCCTCTGGCCTGCACCCCAGTTCTGTATGCACAAATAAATAAATCTTTAAAACAAAAAGTAAGGAATTATTGTAAGTGACAATTAAAACTGACAGTGTATGTAAAACTGACAATGACACCAGTTTCTAACCTTAATGCAAGTGTTACTCCTGAAAAGCACAGGCCAACAGAACCTGAAGCCTTATGGGGACACTAGCAGCAATTTCATTTTAGCATCAAGTGCATCACATCAATGTCACAGATCCCCAGCCTAATCTTACAGCTCAGTCACCCTAAATCTTACACTTCTGTGAGGCATATAGCTAGCCATATAATATATTTCCTTTCCTAGAATTGCCTTGGCTCCAATAGGTGATATATATCTATTTCATTACTAACATTTCTTCTGCCTTGATCGATTTTTGTACTCTTTGATTTTAATGGCCAGATTAACAACTGTTTATTTCTATTTGAATGTCTTCAGTGGTAAAATACCATATATTTTTCTCTATTATGTACAGCTAAAGGAAGTAACTTGATGTGAGAATAATATCTGCCAATTGCAATCTCAATAAACAGCACCAGATCATGAGGAAAACACTCTGGCTTCAAATTCTATTCCATATATTCCCACAGTTATCACAAACTTGGGAAACATATCTTGTCAATCTTTGCATATATTTGAGGAAGTGTATTTAGTACAAAGGGGTGGACTTTGAAGCCAGTCACTGGTTCTACTGCCTTCTAGGACATTTGATTCATAATAATGTGGTAAAACAAAAGAAGTCAGAAATCTTACATCTGTTTGCACTGTCTTGGGTTCGTTTGAATTCAGAATTGGAAGAACTTCTGGAAGTGAATTCACTCTTCTCCGAGCATTTGACTCCTGGATCTCCACTGACGCAGTTATGGGAATGGGACGCAGTTTATCTCTGATATTTTCCTGAGGAGTACGTGGGCATAGAGTTACACATGCTACACTCGCTACTGAGGAACTCCAAAGTCATGTTTCAATTTTTACTGAATAAAGGTAGCTAGCCAGCTGCAGGCCTCACCTGGAGCCAGAGGACTTCCTCCATGCACATCTTCTGCTTCTGCCTGTTCAGAGTCAGTTCTTTTGTGAACTTGGACTCAGAGCCGGAGTTTTGAAAATGAACTCTTGGTGATAGCCCAGATTTCCTTCTTTCTTTTTCAGCCTCAAGTGTGCCTAAAATAGCTAGGAAGAGAACACAAGTCACGTGAACACAAAGGGCATTCAACTGTGATTCAGCTTTAAGTACACCAGTTCATTTTAAATAAAATATTTTTGGGCCCTCCCTGGTGGCGTGGCAGATTAAATCACAGTGCTAAGAAGCTAAAGCCATTTCTGTAGGAGTTCAATCCCCGCCCGCTCCAGAGGTGATCCACATGGCCCAGCAGACCTCTCCTGACCCACCCGCTGCTCCCCTCAGCAGTGTACTTCGTCGATCTGCCTGTTCTGCTCCCCACTGTCTCTGCTGAATCCTATCACTGCCCCTGCATCTCTGACCTGTACCCCAGTTCTGTAATGCATAAATAAATCTTTAAGAAAATTTCTTATAAAACCATTTTTCTCACTGCCGACATTTCTCCTCACATTTCCTAATGCTGTACTTGTTGACTGATTTATGATGTTTCATACCAAGCCATTCTTCCCTGCTCATTGCTCTTAATAATGCTTAAACATAAATTTTCATTGGGCCACCTGGGGGAGCTCAAGAATAACTCAAAACCTCTGAGCAACTCAGAAGATTCAGTTTCTGGCTCACAGGCTATTAAGGATATTAACAATAACAGAAAGGGACTCAATACTCTCTAAGGGCCTAAACTGCCTTTTCCCCTCCAACAGTCTGATGTTTGAATGGTCTCATGCTTGAAATTCAAAGCAGGTTTCTAGAGCCAGCAGCATCTGAGGTGATAGAAATGCAGGCCAGGTCCCAGGCAACCTACAGAAACAGAATCTGCACTTCAGCAGAATCTCTAGATGGTTCTTATACACATTAAGGAGCACTGATAAAGGATAACTGTCTAAAAGAGTAATAATATTAGAGAAATATTGACAATAAGATGAGATATGTCACTCAGAAATAAATAAGTAAATAAATAAAGGTAAAACATTCCTTTTAGCAGCCATAGGGCCCACTTGATTGCAAATATAGCTCCCACCAGCAGAGTTTCAATCTCAGGGCCTAGAAGGCACCTCATGGTACACTAGGTGAGCTGGGAAGCAAGCCAGGATTATCAAAATCTCATGTCTTGACTTCAGACTGCTTTCTTTGCTGGTTCACTGGCTGTAGCTGCAAACTGTGTTTTTAATGGGCCAATACTTAAATTACTTACATTCATTAGTCACTCACTAATCATCAATAAGGAGAACAAACCAAAGGGCATAGAGAGCCAGAGCAAAAAAAAAAATATATATATATATATGCTCCAGAAAAACAGAAAATGAACAAACCAGGCTCTAATATTTACATTAGATTTGGAAGAGACCTCTTGAAAACATCCATTTTAATGTGGTCTTCTTGTAGATGAAAAAATGGAGCCCCATAGAAGTAGGTGACTGGCTTAGGGTCATACAGTGAGAGACAGATGCACTGCCAGCTTCCAAGTCACTGTCATAATCACAAAAGAAGATGCTTTATAAAGCCTCTTCAGTGCTGACATTCCTGGTTGTTTTATCCTCTGTGTGAGTCACTCTCTCCCTCTGCCAACTGGCCCCCTTCCTTTTTCTATCTCCTCCAGACTGGCTAACCCTTCTCCTTTCAGATTTCAGCATGGACATCACTCCCCCCAGGGACCTCCCAGAGCAACCTCCTGGGAGAACTAGGCTATTCTGTTTCTCCAGTCACTACACTTAGTCAACTGTGCTAAGCCATGGGCAGGGTCACAATGGCTGTTCACCAACACATTCCCCAGCAGCAGCACAACACCAAGAGCAATATGATTGTAGACCAGCTGATCAGAAGCAGGAGCGACTGGCAGCACATCAACATACACATCAGTGCATATTTGCGAGCTTGCACACACATACACACACAAACATCAAGGTGTTCTTAGACTGAAACGATAGCTATTCAGATGTGTAAGAGCAAAATTCAGAAACACTGATGGTGTTGATCGTAATTTCTGTGCCCATCTGAAGAATTCTTAAATGTCATGGCTGCCAAATGGAACGCTCCCTCCATTTTAGGCCCTATGTAGCCTTGACATCATCCATTTAACAGTGACCTGCTAACTTCACCATGAACCAGACGAAGGCTCACACGCTGAGTGCCCCTCTCGGCAAAAGTAGGGGAGGGCGTGGGTGCATTAAAACCGTTTATCTACCAAACCCACTCTAACCTTCCCTAACCCTCCAGACAGTTTACATCATCTTAAAATCCTTGCGGGCCATCTTTGCTGACCTTTTGAGGGGCAAGCCAAGTAGAATACTCATTAAGGCTCAATTATAAATATCTGTATGTATAAAACACCACACTGAATTAAAATGGCCTGGTCAAACAATAAGCTCATATTCTGACGCTGGGAACAGATTTTACATGCATTAACTTATGCAGCTTTGTGGAAGTTCTGTTTATTTTATTTAGAATTTCCCAATATAGTAGAAAGTACAGGTAATAAAAACAGGTTTTCTCTAAATGTCTTTAGAGATAAAAGTTCTATCCATAACAACACTATCAATAAACACTTGACTAACAGTGGCTACAGAATATAACAATCAACACATGTACTATCAAGCACATCATTAAAGCTAGAAGAAAGTTTGGATTTAGTTCAAATAAATGACTGATTTGAGGGGGGACAAGGAACACGCATGACTGTGATGAGATGGCATGTCTATAATCAGACTGAGAATGGTTTGAGACAATGACAGACTAATAGAATAAAATGGTTCCCCCATCTCCTCTCTGAGCCTAGTCCAAGAACCACTTTACCCTTGTTTCTATGGTTCACTTCCTAACACAACTGTAAAAGGCCTGGTATCCAAGTGCACAAATGTAAGGGATTGCATTTGGGGATAAGCAACACAATCAACACCCAAAGAAGACAGATCCTGAGAAATCATAGAAGGTATTTACTCATTGCTAAAAGAAACGAAGACCTGTTTCCTGCACGATAGGAAGACAGCAGTGTCAAAAAGCAAAGGACAAGACCACAGGGCACTGTACCTTGCGCACCGCACTCTAATACAAGACCCAAGCACAGTCTGCAGACCCTGAGGGATGTCCAGGAAAGCCCAGGAGCAGGCATCTGAAGAAAGTCAGGAGGGAGAAGCCATCTGAAGACAGCCTGAAGCCCCGGGGCAATAAAGGTTAAGTGGGTCTTTGACAGTGTGAACAGGGCGAAGGGAGGTATATTCGGGACATCTTTTTTATAAATAAATTCGATACCACCAGGTAGAAGAAAACTTTGGAATTACGTCAAAGACAGAACCACTTTGTCCCTCAAGGAAGCAAAGCTGCCCTGAAAACGACCACAGTGGAATTCACCCTCTCCTTCTTTGCACTTCCTCTTTCCTCTTTAGATTCCCAAGTCCCATCTTCACTCTGGGCACATGGCTCACACCTGAAGAGGTGTGGCTGAATTAAAACTCAACCAGAGAATGTCTTGGTCATAACCAATATTATTAGAATATCACTAGCTCTCAGCCCTGTCAAAATTTGTGGCAAAAAATCCTGTTTGAATAATAAAGAAGCAAAGCAGAATATTTTATAAATAACACTGCTCTCACCACATTATTTCATGTAGTCTCCCATCACAATCCTATGATAATTAATACTGAAACGATTCTGGATAATTAATACTGAAACGATACTGGAGGCAATTACGACGAGAGGTGCTCTTTTGGCTGATGGAAAAATAAAAACTCAACTTCTAAGGGAATTGTTCTGGCTATGCTGTAGGATCAGTCTACACCAAAAATGGAAGCAGACCTGAGCCCAAGTTCTAAATGGCCAGGGCCAGACTTAAAAGCCTCTCAGGGGCCTGCACTCGGGGCCCACAGCAGGGGACTCTGGGCCAGGGAGGCCCCTCTGGGAGGCGCCAGGGAGAAAAGAAAGTATAAACTGGCGATTATTCTGTGCTGTACTCCAGGCTCCTGCAGTCGCCCAGCAACAACCACCACCCACCACCTTACAACCACAAAACCAACTTTCCACACTGCTTTTCAAAGACAGAAATAGAGGAAATGATTGTGGTAACAAATGAGCTCTTTTCCACGGCAGTCTCTCCTAAACCATCTGCTCTGGAAAATTCAAATGGGGACCAAATGCAGAGTTTTCCCTCATGTGCTGTTTTCTCCTGATTAAAGAGAAGACAGACACACTTAATTCTTTAAATAAGAATTTGTGGCCACTTTGGTCACTGCAGTTTTATTTTTGCTCTTTATGCAGCACTCTCAACCTGGCAGACAGAAAAATAAAGTGTTTTTAATGTAAAGGTACTTACTTATGGAAGGGTTATAACCAGTGGGCTTGGCAGTATATTCAAAACAGGCCTTAACCTTGAGGCTGTATAAAATCAAACACACATTTCTTGAAAGATGCATTATTAAAGAAGACAAAAAACAAGTATGCTTCCCTGCTTTCAAATCCCCCCACAGCCCACTAGTGAGTAAAATGCTATATATTCACTTCACAGATTCCTTTTCCCTTTGCCCATTTTTCTCTTAATCGTCCCTGTGTCTCCTCATGGCAACAGGGTCAGCACAAAGAAGAGGTGTAAAAGCGATGGGGTCACCAAGGCACAGCAGAAACGCTCACCATATCCCACTCGGTGCCCGGCAGGATGTCTTCTGGTGCAGATCAATTCTGTTAGGTGTTACAGTGACAGTCTTCTGAATATTAATCACAGGCCGGGATCTAAAAACAAAGGAGTAAAATCTCAGCTCAGCTTTTTGCCACCTTGAACAGAAGGGGAATTTCATGTCCTAGACAGCATTTTAAAAACCACAGGGGAGAAAATGTCCCCATGTGACTGCTCCCTGCAGTGTTCAGGAAAATCACAGTTAACTAGTAATAATTTTAAACCTCATTATATTGTAGTTATTACAAACGGTTAATACAATGTGTATTTGAAAATATAAAACATTTTGTAGTTTTAACATTAGCGTTTTTAACTTGAAAGTATATCATCTGTAATCTGTAAAAGGCTCCAGTTTGTAGGCAAATAATATGTCTCTGTCCCCAGACTCCTGCACCCTTGTAAGTTCTTCCAGATACATATCAGACTGCACTTCTGTTAAAAGTGTCAACAAATATAAAAATACACATATAATTTTTCAATGGAAGCTTTTCATGCATATAGCCTGCATGGTTCCCTCACCTGTTCATATTTCAGAGATCTTATATCAACTCACAGGAACCTCACTTTTTTTTTTTATTACAAAAGTTTATTTTTACATCATTTTGTACATTTTTTTTTCCATCTCAATTGTAATCCCTGCGGGGTTGAACCTCACTGTTTTTTACAGCTTTGCATTGCACCATACCAATGGAACGTCATTTACATAATCAGTCCCTAATCAGTAGACACTTAGAGCATTACTAGGTTTTCTGCTCTTGTGCATTTACCCAGGCATCCTTGCACACTCCTTGTACACCTAAGCATCCTGTGTACAAAAATCTATCTCAAATGTAAGAGGAATTCCTATATTCATTCTCAAATGAATTCGCAGAATTTTTGAGTCAAAGGGTATCTGTATTTTTACCAAAATACCCCCCACAAAGGATATACAAACCTGAAACCATAAAATACTTGTGGGACGGGAGCTTAGGGAGCGGGGGGTAGGGGTGGGACGGGAGCTTTGGTGGAAGGCGAGTGAAGTATGTGCACACAGAGAAGGGTGAGGTATATTCTGAAAATTATATAGTTAGGTAAACAACTAATAAATAATAACAAGATAACAAAAAATCAAATACTCCAAAAAGCAAAACAAAGAGGTTACACCCATATCTCCCTAACACCTGGATCTCACTATCAGTATTTCTACCAACGAACTTCAGTAATGCAGGTCCTCTGAACGTGTCCCTCTCACTGACCTACACACTCCCAACCCCCCCCCCCAGAATTCCCCACCCCCAATGTAAAGTCACTGTCCTCTCTCTCTCAGCACTAACTGCGCTGCACACCACAGTGTCTCTATCAGCAAAAACTTAACACTTAACTCTTCCTATCTCCATTCTACCAACCCCTAAGTTACCTCTCAAATACTCAAAATAGTTGGAATCACACACCTTTAGTCCTTCTCATTTAAAAACATCTCTCCCTTACATACTTTACATACTCCCCACAGCCAAAAGGGACACCATGGGCCATTAGCCTAATTTCTGCTGTAGTCAAAAGAAAAGTAAGTCTGTAATGTCTGGGGTGAGTGGGGGTGGGGGAGATTGCACCTCTCACCTCAGGCACTCCTCTGCCAAAACTCAACGCGATTCTGTGGCTTCAGGACCACATGGATTCAGTTAGTCTAACTTCAGTGGGCTTGTGGTAAACCTGGCCATTCTGGAGAAGAGTGTTTCTATATAGGAAAACCGCATTCCAAATCCCAAATCCCTGAACTTCTGGAATCAATCAGTAGGTAGTGAGGGCACAAGGACCCGCATGTGTACAGAAGAAAGTGTCGGCCCTAGGAGAGCAAACGCTACCCACAGTCCCTGTGTCTTCCTCTCATCTCAGATATTTACCTTTCTATTGTTATCTTACATGTAAACTACTGCTAGCTTCTAAGATACTAACTAGACATGTTGTTAACATTTTTAAGTATAGATTTAAAAGGCAAAGATTTAGAAATATTTTAAATCTGTCACTACCTATACTGGAGTGTATTACATATCATGATATTCATGCTATAGTGTGGCATAAATCTCAAAAGGAAACACTTTGACACATATTTCTGCTTCAACTCCATTTTTATTTGTTTTAGGCACTCAACATAGACACAATTTTGAGTGCACAGTACAGATGAATCATGAAAAAGATGCTTTTAACTCAGAAAGCAAATCCTACTGACTCAGCTGTCTTGTTTACTTCCTTACTAACTTTATTTACTACTCCAAAGTCCAATATGTTTTAATGGGAAAAACTAAAAACTAGGATTTCCTAGGATTGAAGTTGGGATCTTATTCTAGTAAGATTCAGACTTAAAAGTTCAAGCAAGTCCTGGGCTTTCATTTCTTCATGAGCAAAACAAGGGAGTTGGTCCTTTTGAAATTTATTTGTACATGATTAGTAAGAAGGGGAAAGTTTAGAGTTCACAGCCAACCTACTCATGAGGATAGGAAAGTAAAGAATATTAAAATAGTGACTACACACAGAGGCAAATATTTAACTGATCGAAGATGTGCTCTCTGTTGGGGAAAATCTTGTACCAGAATTTGGTTACAGAAGTCTTGATGCTTGGGGGTCATATCTCAAACTAGAACTATAGCTCAAGTGCTTTTTGATGGAAACTTTGCTAAAATAACTGAATGCTATATATGCTTCTATCTTTTGAAAATGTTTCATATTTTAGAGCTAATACATCTATGAACAGAGAGAAATAGGCAAATGCACTGTTTATGGAACACCATTTAGAAAACAAGCTGAATCTCTAGACAGGACACAGTGTGGCAGCTCAGGAGATGGGCTGGTTCACAACTAACCCTATCACCTCCAGCACAAACCACTACTGACCTATCAATGCTTTCTTGAAGCTCTTTTCCCAGCCATGCCCATGTTATTTACTTACTTTATATTTTTAATCTCACTCATCTCAGATACTTTTCCCTCCACTTATTTTTACTTGTTCTTTCATATCTAGGTATTATAAACTGACAAGCTTATAAGAGAGTAGGTACAGCCTGACCTCAATTATGCTAAATCAATATGTACATTCACAGAAAGCAAACACTAGGTAGCCTAAATAGTCCATCAATAGGCTATCAAAATTTGAAATTTAATAAGGATGATATTACAAGGAATTTTTATTTCTCTCTACATATTCTTTGTATTTTGTTTTTTATCAGAGTAGGTTTTATAAATATTATCTACAAAGTAAAAATTTGCACCATTTCTGATCTACCTTTTCCTCTGTTCAAAATTAGCAAGATGTACAAAAGCTTTACACGGTTATACCACTTACTTCAAAAGAAAAAATCTTCAAAATTCACACAAGTCTTTGCCTGTAAAGTACAGATATTGTACATTTCAATTCACAAGGTGAACATTTTAGCCTACCCTCACTGCTGAACGCTTACCCACAGCAAAGGCACGCACCTGAAAACAGCAACTGAGTCTGAGAGGGAACCAACAGCAATGTCAGGGTAGGAATTTCTATCAAGGTCCATATTTCCAGCAATTGAATATCCAAAAGAATGTGTCTTACCCTCAAGAACCTGAAACAAGTCGACAAGATGGACACTGAGCCTTCAGAGTGAGCTTATCTATGATGTGGGGGAAAATGCGCACATTTCTTTTACACTGAAGTTTACGAGTTCACTTGTAAATAAGTTACAGTAAACTATAAGCAAATTATAAATATACGTGTGATGCATTACTTCATACATTGTCTAGCCAAAAATAATCTGATTTATATTGCACCTTCAAGGATAAAAAAATCCATTTTGATGCACTAGTTCACTACATTAAGCCAATCAGAGTTTTTGCAAGATGGTTTTTCTATTCTCAAAAGCAATTGGTGTGAGATTTCCCACACATTTACAATATTCTCTTTCACTTGTCCAGTTTCATCTACTTTAATGTGGAAATTTATCACATGCCCATCAACTTGAGCTGTCAGGGTAGCATAATTCCTTTGGAATTCTTTGATTCCTAACTCATCTGAGAAACTTTTCAATTACAACAGGCAGTCTGTTACATTTATATCTATGTTCAAGCTATGTTCTAACAATTTATTTTTAAAAGACACAAAATTCATACTACTGTAAATTTAAGTAAAAAATTATATGCGTAAAAATTCACATAAGCCTAAACAGTCTATTGAGAGGCAAAAAGCAGAGACCGTTACTGTAGAAATCCAGATTATTTAGTTACCTGAGTGGGTTTGGTATTGATTCCACTCGCCGACCCATGATAAATAAATACCTTTCCCATGTCGTCATAGGGAGCACCAACTGCAATATCTGTTGACAATATCACATTTTAACAAACGTCACATACTTAAAACATTCCAATACAACCTTTTAAAATAAGATGCACAAATACTACTGCAGATAATCAAATAACCTATCAATATCATAACCAATTCACAATCAATTACCTACCTGGGTAGCCATCTTGATTAATATCTCCAATATTTTTCACAGCAATGCCAAACATGGAATCTTTAGTTCCATTAAGACGGACTGGCTTAACATTACTCCATTTGCCTTTCTGGTTAATGTAGACATAGACTGCACCTCCAACTTCTCCATCTCTATCAAAATACTGTGGGGCTCCCACAATTATATCTTGCCACCTAGAAATAATGATGGAAAGAACGGAACCACCAGCTAAAGTATCAGTGAGCTTAGAGGAAATACCACTAGCCCAGGTACTAAGAACATAAAGAGATATGATAGAAAGGACCTTAAATCTTGAATTGACATCTTATAAACTGTAACATTTTTTAAAAGCTAAAGAGGCCTGTAAGAAGTTGCTTGACATAAGATACTGAAGAACTCGAAGTTATAATTACACTGCAGAGATTCTCTGTGAAGACCCTACCCTCCTACATTAATTGGCATCTGGAGTCACAGATCTACATTCTGACTTTGCCACTCACACCTACTTTCAACACAAATAGTCTAGATGTTCCAACAGTCCCTTAAGAAGCCACAGAACAGAACCAAAGAAGTGTCATCTTTCAAGGTAATCCCCCCATTTTAATTCTCACAGGCCTATGATCCCGAGACAGAAATAAAACTAAAAACTGAAGGTACAATCCTACGCCTAGGCAAATGATGAGTTGTCTAAAGTCAAAATAGAGGTGAGAAAAACACAATGGGATGGTGGAAAACTAGCAGCAAAAATAGTCTTTGCATTAACTAATCTGAAAGAATGGCTTTTCTCAAGACCTACAGAAACCAAAGCTGCAATGATGTCTTTGTAAAAATAAGATAACATGAGATGCTTACCCATCTTTGTTAAGGTCCGCCACTGCCACATCATAGCCAAATGAAGAGGCCAGACCTTCCCCAACAAATATGTGCTCAGGAACAAGATGTGAAGTCTTTTTCTGGCTTAGCAAAACCACAGCTCCACTGTGATTGGCCCTTGGAGCGCCAGATACAAAAGTAGTATTTTCTTTAAAAATAATACCTTTCCCTGAGTCCAAAGAAAAGCCTAAAAAAAGGAAACAGTTCACATCAAGCCTGTATTTCAAGAGGTATCTTCTCCCTTTGTCTCCCACCCTTTTCTTTCTATCCTGTATATGTCAAGGAGTCGCAGAACTAAGAGTCTGACCCAAGTACCAAGCAGCAGGCTATTTCCATTGCTTTCTACAGATTCTGACTTTATTAAAAAAAAATCCATGTTATTTAGCATTTGCGTAACATGAATCGAGAAGCATTCATGCATCTAAGAATCACTTTAAGCCTCATTTTAATACTGGAATTGTGCTAAAGGAGATCAGCTAGATACTTAATTATGAGAAAGTCACATCATATACACAGAGATACAGCTTGACATAGCAGAACTGAGTGTACATTACAGGGCTCTGCTATCATGCAATGACGAGTAAAGTCCCTACCCATCCAGCTCCTGGGTTAAGAGGCAAGAACTAATGCTAACACCATTAATACACCACAGCATTTCATTATTTTAATACACAGCATTTCATTATCTTAGATCAACAGAGTTCTGAGACAAGCATGCAAACAAAATCATGATTAATGAACCAGTATTTGAGAACCTCGTATAAACAATAGAGGTGAGCAAGTTGCCATCTGCATCAATTACGTATTTGTTCAGAGAGTAGAAAAACGCAAATTAACATCCAATAGAAAATAATCAGGTAGGATGCCATGTTACAAATGCTGAGATTTAGTAGCAAGCAAATATAAATGCCCATATCAAAACCATTCAGATTAGGTAGCATCTGTCTATGTACAAATGAGACAGATGCACGAGAGTATAAGCTGTCTTATAACCCAGTGACCCTCTTCATTGAGTTTTATTTATGAAAAGCTTCACCACTACCAGTTTGCAGTTCTCAAATTGTGAAGTGAGTTGAAAAATAGGAACTTCAAGTTCACAACAGAATGACATAATCGAATCCAGTTCTGAAAACCACCTGGCAGCAAAGTCTAACTGTGGCATGCTTTTTATGTGTGCTTCACTTGAAATGAAATAGAAAATAAAAAGATTTATGCTCTGTATGGATCAAAAAAATTTTTAAATGACCATGACCAGGACAATTTATTTGTCATCTCAGAGGTCACAAACCTAGGTAGCTATTCATCATCACATCGGGGGTTGTGTTGGGCTGCTCCCTGGGAGGCTGTGTTTTATAAACAAACTGATCGGGATCTGTATAGGATATGCTGGTCAAAAACAGCAGGCCTGAACACACACATGGGACAAAGAAATGGAAGAAAAAACAATTACACTTGGTAAGAGGCAAGAGACTACTGCCTTTGTCGTTGGGTGATGAGGCCAGACCTGCATCTGGCTAGCACCACCCTCTGCCAGCTTCCAAGATCTCAGAGAGATCATTTTATTCCTAAAGTCCACTGATGTTGCAAAATGAGAGAGTCACAGATAGCACGGCCAGCTGAAATATAACGACATGAACTTAACTTTTTTGCGTGGTATCCACTTTAGATGAAATCCATTCTAAAATTGGCAATAAAAAATGCTCAATATTTTCAAATGTTCCAATAACAACTGTTGTCTATGAGACTGGTGAGCACATTAAAAACCCAGTCGGTAACTTGACCAGGATTATTAAAAATTAAATACTTTTCATAATAACTAATCCCTAAACAACAGGTTTGAAAAGAGGTTGTCTGTTAAAATACATTTAAATGAAATATCGGCTTATTGATAAGACTTACCTTATAATTGATTTTGCTTGAAAAGCCACATTTGAGACTGCAAGGGGTCTGTGTCCCTGTCCTGTGTTGCAAGGCCACTCACACCATTCACACACCCACCTGCCACCTACCCAGACTAGTCTCTCTTACAAGAATTTCTTGCCTTGGCTCAGGTATTATGAGTTATGTGGCCTTGGACTAGGAAATTAATCTCTCTAGATTGGTCTTTTTCATTGGCATAAAGGAGAAAACATACTTATAATATTGTTGGAAAGATCAAATAAGATCTGTAAAACAGTGTATAAGCACTTAACTTACAGCACATGGCAGATGCTTAACAAAAGGTATAATTTTTCTCTTCCCTCTTCTATGCCTTCAGACAAGTTTTAAGCTTGAGGGGAGGGAGAGCATCTGAAAAGTTTTTTATATTATAGTACTATTACATATTTTTATGTATTTATACATATCCATAGAATTAGAATACTTATATTTGTATTAAAAGAATTAGAACTATATGTCCACTAACACAGGGTTAATATTATGCACATGTATATACCCAAACATGTATAGACATACATATCTTTTCATGTTTTATCTTTTATTGTTCCAGCAATGTCTCTTGCATATGAATACATGTCTTTTTTTTTTTTAACTAGGTTACTATTTAGGTTTAGAAGATTTTTTACATTTTTCTCAAGAAATGCACAGTAATTATTCTTTATGTCAACTCATACCAAGAATTAACGCTTTTAAAAGCCTATGTGTAATTACCATAATGCACATGAATAATTTAGGACACCCATTAGTAATGCAAACAAGCCTTAGGAGTTAAGGAATTGGCACTTAGACACATTCTGGGTGTCCTCAAAGCTGCTTTAGCAGTTCTGCTCAACCTCAGCCAGAAAGCCCCTTGCCACCTGCCAGGGGCCCTGTGACATGGGGGCCCAATCCAGAAGCCGTAGAGAATAGTAATCAGAGGGAGGCCCTGGAGGGCTTGACCTCCCACTTAAGAATAACTTCATAAATGTAGCTCTTAAAAGTGTCTCCAGAAAGAGACACTAAAGGGAGAGGGAGGCAGTTCAATTTACTGTTAAATTTCATACATTTTTCCACAGCTGCATATATGGCCTGTTTCAGGTGAAAGAAACTGACATTATCTCAGAAAACAGATTTTCAAGCAAGGAGGCAGACAATAAGAGAGAACAGATTCGAGTGAGTCCAGTCCAGAAGGAAGAATCCCAAGGACCTGTCAGGTCACCAAATATCAGTAAGACTCAAATCAAAGTCCATTCATGCCACCACAGGCCGCTGGCTCCACCTGGCCCCATCTCCGCAGAGAAGTCCAGGCTCCTGTGAGGGCATAGAGACATGGGAAAGCAGGCATGCGCCTACACTCATTCCTACCTAAGTAACTGTTAGCAGGAACAGGAACTAGACTTTCATCATGCTCAGTCTCTCCACCAACTTCAAAAGGCCCATCTTCAAAGATGTTCAGGTCAAAAAATGTATTATTCTTTTGCTCTACACGAACAATCCCTAAAGGAGTCAAATGATAAAAACAACCAAAAAATGAAGGTGAAACAAAATAAAATAGATGGTTCTAATGAACATTCCTCATGCTATCACAAAGTACAGGAAGAAAGGTCTAGAGGAAGAAAAGGCAGAAGAGGAAGAGAGATGATGTTTTTCGTTATTAAAGTTAAGTCACGTTCATCTTAATTTTTGTGTCAAAGAGATTTGTTGTAATAATGAAAAAATTCCTCATGCATTTTCATTAATTATCTTTAAAGTGCCATAAAACTAGATGGAAATGGAATGCTTACTAAGTGAAACATTTTTTTTTTTTAAAGATTTATTTATTTATTTATTCATACAGAACTGGGGTACAGGCCAGAGATGTGGAGGGTGAGAGGATTCACCAGAGACAGAGCGGGAAGCCAGAACAGGCTGATCAATGAAGTACACTGCTGAGGGGAGCAGCGGGCGGGTCAGGAGAGGTCTGCCTCGCCATGTGGTCACCTCCTGGGCAGGCAGGGATCGAACTCATGCGGAAGTGGCTTTAGCTTTAGTTTCTCAGTGCAGTGCTTTAACCCGCTGCGCCACCAGGGAGGGCCACTAAGTGAAACATTTAAAAAAAATTTTAAATGATATGGACCGGATGTATTTTAGATTCTCTGTAATTCTAAAACAAATTAGCTTCTCTTCTGTAGGGTAAAAGTGAAATCAATCTTTTCTTTCAATCACTTTCAGATCTTTCAAAAGCCCTCTAATCAATAATTTGGACTTACTTTATAGTAAGTCCAAATCACTGTATGACTTTTTTAAATAGTAACATTTTAAGTCAGGCTTTATAAATAAGTCAGATTTATTTCCCACTCATTAAATATACAGTCAGTGGGGTTTTTGTTTTACTATGACATTTATATGACATTCTGGTTTTGCTAAAAATGAACTCTGTAAAATCAATGTGTAATTTCAATTAGGTCAAATAACCTATATTGTGTCCATAACAATAATTGTTACATTCAAGATTTGGATGAGAGGTAGAGAAGGCTAGAGAAAACTATTCCAAAAGTTTGCTATGGCTGTTATTAGAGAAAGGTTTCTCAAGGATCATTTCTAATGGGAATTAAAACTTAAGAAACTTTTGAATAGAAAAGCAAAAATTTTTTCTGACTGGTAAAAATGTTGTATGACATAAGATTTAATGCAATTTCTCAAAAAAAAAAAATCTTACGTCCAAATCAGATGCATTTCTTGTCATTGTAGATTAGAGTTGGGTTAACTATCCATTATAGTACAGTGGGTTTTTTTTATACCTGCTTAATTTCTTCTAAAATGCTAAATAAACTTTTATAGAAAATGACCAGGTGCATTTAGCCAAAAAAAGTCGGCATTTTCCTTCCTCTCCAGGTCCATCCCTTTTTACCTGTATCACAGTAAGAATAAAACAACTTTTCCAGAAGTTACCAGAAATTATTATCTCAAAATTCCCTAATTTGTTATACGCCCTTTTAATTTTACTGCTTCAACAAAATGTGGCCTTTTAAGAAAGATACACATTAAATGTTTGCATTTATACACTTATTTGTATTTGATAAGACTCAACTCTTCTCAGTTTTCAAATTACTACCTTAACATTCAAACCTTCAGCTTCATGAAACAGGCCAATATAAATTAGCAAAAACTACTAATCTTAACTATTCTTCCAGGAAAAAAAAAAAAAAAGCTAACTACTGTATCAATGTAAATTACTGGTGAAGGGGGAAAAATCTCTTACAACACATTTCTATCCTTGATTTTTTTTAAAAAATCACAATTTAAGAGATTTTAGTATTCCACCCAGCTTCAACAACAAACAAGTACCCTTATAACACATTTTTTCTTAGTTTGGAATGTACTACCAGCTGCATGTAAAATAGTAATTATGCACTCATTTTAACCTCTATTTATATAAATATTCACACCATACCTTTCCAGTTATATGTGCCTGGTGCTCCAAACACAATGTAACGGAAGTCTTTAGTAAAAGTAGCTGCTACACCTTGCTGGCAAGAACCAAATTTCTCATGGCCTCTCAACCTGCCATCACAAAAACTCCAGTCTCCGCCATCCATATCATCTTCAATCTTGAGATTCTGACTCAGGACATAACACCTTCCAAAGATGTCCCTGGATTCCTGCTTTGTATTAACATGTTGCCTTTTTTCATATCGATGAGCACATGTCTGAAAACAAATGGAATAAAGTAACCCATTCATATGTACAAACTGATTATTATTTTACAGATTCATAAAATGATCAATAATAAAGAGTTTTATTCTATATCAAATAATTAAACTGTCCTCATCCTGGCATCTCCTCTAACATGGCACTCTCTAGCCATGTTAGGATACCATTATCTAGCACAGAGAAGCCTAGGGCTGCTGTCTTCTCACCAACAGAATAATGCTGAGTCCAAACACTACATGTCAATCTGTAATCCACAGGCAATTTACCTGTAAATTTATCTGTCACACAAACAATACCTTGTTTCATTTTCCTAATCTAATTGGCTTTTAGTGGTTGTATAAACCTTCACAACAGTGTGATTTTTGAAAACAAGTATATTCTGGAAGAAAGAAAGAAATGGACATATTTGCATAGGTAAGGCAAACACAGTTAACACAAGGACTAGTCCACCCCTTACTTTAATAAAAATTCAGTGTTCGATGAAACCCCTATTTCTCTCAAATTCTATATAAATTTATTAGAGCAACCAGATTTTGAAAGAGACACAATCAATCATCCTACTCCAGCGTGAGGGCACTTTCAAGGCCATCTAGCACATCCCAGCTGGCACATTTTCTTTTCTTTACTACTACTTGTACTTGCAGTAGTTCAGGAAAAAATATTAAATGATCTGACTTTACTTTCCATGACCATATCCATATTTCCCGTAATTCATCTATGAAAGTTATATAGTTCTTGAGACAAACCATGTTTAGTTTTAGTTTTACTGTCTCAAAGCTGGAGTTTTAGTGATAGTCAATGGTTAGTAATACGTTGTTTAAGCCTAAAAGTTCTACAGAAAAGCAGGTTAGAAGACTGTTTGAAATTATAGCAGGAAACACAGGGAAAATACTGCTTTGATCTCTTCTTGACATCAATTCCAGCTTTAAAGCAATAAGTTTGCTAGACTGTAAACCCTACACAGGCAGGGTCTCTGCCTGCTTTGTCCTGACTGTAATTCTGTGTGCGCATAAGAAGAAGCACCAAGCACTGCACAATCAATATTTCTCTATACTCACCACAACTTTGCCCCCTGGACCTTGACTCTGGACAGTGACCCCCATCCATTGATCTTCCTTGCTCTCGGATGAAGGGTCAGCTGTGGAGAGCAGCACAGGTAACACAGTTAAAACTTCAGAGTCTGATACAGATGATAAACTAATAGATGCACAAAAATACAAGAAATCATTCCAAATTGCCTTGACCCAAGTCTGGTTGCTTAGTAATTCAGTTTTTAACCCAGAAAAGTATTTCTCATCCTAAGAGAATAGGCAAGTGACTATTGGTAAGAACCTCTGATAAAATCCTTTACATAAAACACATAGCTCTACCTGTAGCTTTGCTGATACAAGGGTCCCAAGTCCAAAGTATTTGAAAATTGTTAAGACTAAGGGGAAGACTTCCAGCATATATACTTAAAAATATGAATATATTTTATAAGATTTATTTATTTCTGCATACAGAACTGGGGTACAGGTTAGAGGTGCAGGGACGGTGAGAGGATTCACCAGAGACAGAGTGGGGAGCAGAACAGGCAGATCGACGCAGTACACCGCTGAGGGGAGCAGCGGGCGGGTCAGGAGAGGTCTGCCACGCCACGTGGACTCCTCCGGGGCAGGTGGGAATCGAACTCATGCGGAAGTGGCTTAAGCTTCTCAGTGCAGTGCTCTAACCCACTGCACCACCAGGGAGGGCCACCAGCACATATATTTTTAAAGTAACTATGTGGGTCCTCCCTGGTGGTGCAATGGATTAAAGCACAGCACTAGGAAGCTAACTGCAGCCACGTCAGCACAAGTTTTGATTCCCAGCCTGGGAGGTGACACACATGACATAGCCGACATCTCCTGTCTCAACTGCTGCTCCTCTCAGCACTGTGTTTCAGTAGATCATCCTGTTCTGCTCCCCACTCTGTCTCTGGTAAATCCTCTCACTGCCCCTGCACCACTAACCTGTACCCCACCCAGTTCTGTATGCAGAAATAAATGAATCTTTAAAAAAATAAAGTAACCATGTGAAATCCACCTTCCAAAGCCCAACCACCATCCAAGCTAATAAAGAGGGCCCTTACATATTATATGTGTGTGTATATATATGTATGTATTTATATTCATATACACACACATTTCCAAATTAGTATAACAGCAAGAACTATTCTTCCCTTTACTAATATGGAAAGACAATGCCTCCTATTCACTTTAAGTCTCACAGCTGGCAAGTTATACTTACCAATGCCAAAGGGAATGTGGTGTATTTATTTTACCCTCTTTGTCTCCCCATCCCCCAAATAGAAAAAAACTGTAAATACCAGCATCTGTTCATTTCAGTATCAATTCAAACCCCTGTATAACCCTAAATCCAAATTTTTGCCTTCTTCAGTGGGAAGCAAAGCAGCATAAGATGTATCCCAATATGACTCAGAACTTCAACTTCTTGAGTCATTCAAAATATGAAAAAGGAACCTTAAGCAGAAGGAAAAAATAACAAAATGCTAGATAAAGGGTGAGTATGCCTAGATTACATGCATTTTTTTTCTTTAGTTAACAAGTTTCCTATAATTAACACATGCTATTTCTGATTAGTAAAAAATTAAAAGCAAGGGTTATTTACGAAAGATGGAGAAGATAAGAATGTCACCATGAATTGAAACCCTGCTTAGATCAAGCAAGTTCAATTAGATTTGGTTGGAGTTGCTCAGTATAGTAACTGCTGTGCCCAATGTAAAAAGTTCTCACCAAAAAAAAACCTGTTTCTCAAACATCAGAGCAAGTTTAATTCATGTGGTCAACTTTCATTTCAGAGAGATCTTATATTTAAAAGAAACGATTTGCCAAATACCTTAACAGCAAGTACGAATTTTTGGCTCCTGAGGATAAGATAACACATTTTCTATTTTCTCCTGCTGCCTGAATTAATTCAGGTTTTCTGCTGCTTCCTGTAGAACCTCAACACGTCACTAGGTGGCAGCATCAATTCACCATATGGATTTAGAAACCACAGGTAGAAGAGGCAGTAGGCTGCATCCCAACATGATTTTAGGAAAGTTTTCAGGGCAAACCAAAAACCAGTCAAAACGGATGAAATTAAAAGAGTCCCTTCTTTCCGAGAATTAATGTTTGTACGCCTCTCCATCCTCATGCTAAGGGAAAGCGGGTACTGATGAGCTGGTCAAGAGACACAATGGAACCCAAAGGAACGCACCGTCATTATCAAATTCAATCCGTGTGCATGGTCCCGGGGAGGTGATGTCACAGCTGTACAAGCCCCCAGTTCTGTTGGCCTTCTGCAGTGGAAGGGCGACTGCTCGGGGGGCCCCCACAAGCAACCTGTTAACAAAACAGAAAATTTGGAGGTTTGAGTTTAATAGACATTCAACATTTGCATTTTGTTAGGACCATGAGGTCCCAGGATTATTTTTTTTTTTTTTGCCCAGGAGCCCACTAATTCTCTACCCACTTAGGTGGGGAGGTAGATTACTGTAAACGGTTTAGGAAACACACAGAACTACAGAAGAAGACACAAGAGTGTCCCTTTACTCACTGTTTCAGCAGCTCTCTACTGAACATAATCTTGGGGTTTATATACTTTTTTTTTTTTTAAGATTTATTCATTTATGCATACAGAATTGGGATACAAGCCAGAGGTGCAAGGGCAGTGAGAAGATTCACCAGCGACAGAGTGGGGAGCAGAACAGACAGATGGGCAAAGTATACTGCTGAGGGGAGCAGTGGGAGGGTCAGGAGAGGTCTGCCACGCCACGCCATGTGGATGACCTCCAGGACCAGGGATTGAACTCCCACTGAAGCGGCTTCGGCTAGCTTGCAGTGCTGCACCCTTGGGGGTTATATACTTTTTATAAAGTGAAGGCCTAAAGAAAACCAAAACAAACCCTTGAAATCTGAGTGCAGAACTGAGACTACAACAGGTAAACTGGTAAACTGAGGCATGGGTCTCAGAGAGCCCGAAGGCCTAAGGTGGAAGATTTTGGGGGTACTTGAAGAGTGCATTATTCCAGCAATATACCAATAACCCTTAAACATACATAGTGTTGGAAATCAATGCAACTCAATAAAATATTTACAACTTTCAAAAAAGACACTTGTCATAGGACATGACCCATTAGCCTAAGCCAAGGCCAGGGCGTGAAACTCAACAGACAGAACAACACACATCCCACACGAGAGGGGAGCAGGGTCACATGAAACTTAGCATGTGATCAATGACTAACACTGTGACTACCTGTCTTTCTCAAGGGTACTTTGCAATTTCAAGGATAGAGAGATTTAGTGAATAAACTATTAAGTTAATTAAACTAGACTGAGGTGCCTTCTAGAGTACCTGGGTGAGATGTAGGCAAACCCAAATCTAACCTGTAAATTCCTGAAGGTTACACAATCAAATCCTAAAGATAACCAATTATAGCCATGGCCTTAAGCTATAGCCAACCCAGGAATTTCTTTTCACAATTTCTCCAGCTCTGGACCACAGAGCACTCCTACCCACTTCTAGTCTAGTGTTGCCAAATGCAAATCACCTGCATTCAAATAAATTTCTAGTATTTTTTATATGCCTCAGCTTATCTTTTAACACCAGTGATTTAGAACCCACCCTTTGCCCAAAGGAACTCATCTAACTGTTCTCTTCTGAAGCTTCAGCCTCTTTCCCAATCAATTCTTCCCTCTGGACCCTCTTGTCACCTCCAACAAGTGCATCCACGATCCCTCAGCCAGTCTCACCCAAAGGATTCAGGAAAGGTCTGTATCATGCCAAATTTTACCAAGCATTGTAAATATTTCTTCTTCCAATCCATTATTTCCAACATTCTTGTTACAGCGTGTGAAGAGGAACGCTATCCAAACCCACAATCCTTGAAGTTTCTCACCCAAAAAGGATCTTAGGGATCTGTTACCTTCATGTTAAAGATCTTTACTCACCATCAATTTTATAATCTTAGGAATCTGTTCACTGACATAACAAGGGAAAAAGAAAATGGGCCTGGCCTGGCCTGACCTGACCTGACCCAGAGAAACCAGGCTAGAGCTGGGAAAAAGGACTAGATATAAGAATGTCAACAGATAACTCCACAAATAGAAAACAAGCCACTGCTGCCCTTGAAGAAATCCACACATCCTCCCATAGAAAAGCAAAAACAAAGGAAACGAAAAACCCATAAACCAAACACTCCCTTCCACCTCTGTCTCTGATATGGGCCCAATAAGTAATTTAGCACATTTTTTAACCAGTGCAATGCAGCAGATTCAGAAGAAGAAAAATGCACTCAGAAAACAAGAGAAGGGAGCCAGACTGCTCAGGGAGAGTCAGTGACACAAGATCCCACAAAATGGTGGGAGAACACTGTCCTGGCACCGTGCTCACCCCCAGAAGCCTCGACAGTGGCTCAGTCAACTTCCACTTCCAATCCCTCCCACATTTGAAGCACATACTCAGGTACTTAACTTATGGTGACTAAAAACATGATGCAGGCAGGGTCCATGATGCATCCAACTCCTGGGCATAAGACAAACACAAGGTCAAAGGCACCAGGATTGTCATGGAACCAGCCTGCACCTGTTATAGGGCACCCCAGTGTGAACTGGGCTGCCTGTCTGCGGGTCCTCACCCACACCTTAAGATTCAATCGTACTGTGGACACACACAGCAACCCAGGGAAAGAGGGAGAGAAATACAAGTTAACTAGGATGTCCTACCTGTTCTGCTGACTTGGACTCCACCGGCACGCTGAAAACTGATCAAGAGCCAAATGACTAGCCGCAAGCCACCAGGCCGAAAGCCCCCTAGAGCCCACATGTCCGGTTTTTTTCCTAACCTGGCTGCTCAGCTCCGCCCTCACGTCCCAGGGTGCTTCTCCTTGGCATCGATGGGATTAGTAGTTGCAGTATCTGAGTGGGGGCGGGGTCCATGAAACCTGTACCTGTTACACACCTATGTCGCTGATCCTAGCACTTATGTCGCTGATCCCAGCACCCGGCACAAGTATCTGAGAGGTGAACTGGCCTAGACGGAGGGAACAAATTCAATGACCTGGGAGATTCAGGTATGGAACCCTGTCCCAGGTGCTGGAGCTGAAAACACAGAACCGCCACATCCACCAGAAGCACCCAAGTTCAGAGGCCCGGGTAGGAGAGAAGTCCTCTGCCCCTACACTCTCACAACTAATTAGCAGCCAGGACAAATGTGACCTTGGAACAAGGTTCTCTCCATTCCTTTAAAATGCTGCCTAGGAAATAAAACCCAGGATTTTAAGGCGTTTAACATACCCACTGAAAGGATAAAGCCTCAAGCAAATGAAACATTGAAACAAGAACTGCTCTAATGGATCAAGGAAGGCCCCACGGAAGGCGCTGGGAGGGAGTCAACTACTGAATTACTGCCTTGGGTGGAGTGAAAGGAGAAGAGAGTTCCAGTAACTAACTTGGGGGTGGGGTGGGGCGTGGAGGGCTATAATGAGCAGCCCTGGAGTTCCAAGGTTATTAGTGTGTGTCTTCTCCAACCACTTCCTCTCCTGGTCCACACAGAAGGCTTGCCTTGCTCCTCCAATGCAGGTATTTGTTATTTCCTGTTTACTATGCTCCTTCATTCATCTATTCATTCATTTCACAACATTCAAGAGCCTCCTAGGAAGACTATGAGTCTTCTCTCTCCTTCCTACAAACTCGCCTCGGGATTGGGTATGTGGGAGAAGGCCAGTTCTCTAACAGCAGGAGGTAGAGAGAGTGCTGTGTTGAGTGCCGTCCATAGGGGGCGCCACACCTGCCCAGACGATAAGGAGTCCCGCAGCGAGGGCAGGGAGCTGGAGGTGGACAGGTGAGGGCCATCATGGGCCAGGGCTGAAAGGGAAGCGGCTGACTGGAGGAGTAAATGCAAGAATGTGAATCAGGATGCAAAAAGACGGGTCAGGGAGGTCTTCAGTTTCTACTCCTGGCCAGAGTGGGAGACATGCACCTTCTGAGCCTCTGGGCACACCCCACATCCCCACCCCTCCACCCATGCTTCCGCTGCTTGTGTACCCCCAGAGGTCTGGTGCTTCCTGTTATTTAAAAAGCTGCTAATGCTGTTCCATTTACACGACTCCCTTGGACTGGCGGCTTCCTCCAGCCGTGCGGTAGGGTCTCTCTTTCCTGTCACTTCCATCTCCCATTTGTTCCCCTGTCCCTTAAAAGTCACTTCTTTAACACGCTGTGACAGATAGTATTTAACTCCGGTTTGCTGGCTAGTTTTAAGGGCTGCGGCAACAACATTTCACATGTGTTAAAAATGTCAAGCTCTTGCGGAAATCCTCCGTTTTACTTGTGGCGGTTACTCGGATGAAAGCAGATCGCACAGTAGGATGGGAGCAACAGGAAGGTTTGGGGGGAGGAGGGTGTGGGTGGCAGTGGGTTCGACTCATAGGAAGAGAGAACACTGCCAAGTCAGAAAAGTGCATCTCTGGAAAATGCTGCCAGCTGCCACCAGCCTTCCTGTGGGCCCTACCTGCAATGTTTCGAGTACTGTTCTCCCCAAGCCCCTGAAGAGTGGACACAGGGAGCCCACTTTGGAATCTGGCCTACTTTGGAGGGCAGCAGGGTGCCTTGTAACCCTCTGCAGACCTCTGCGGTCTATGCCCTGCACCACAAAAGGAAGTCAGTACATGAAAAGGGGGGGACACCTCTGCTCCAGCTGCACCCCGTTGCCTGAGACTACTCCTACAGGAGATCATGGAGATGACAACTGGGAGCCATGAAGAGTTAAGTTGGTGGATTCGCGTCATAGAAAAATAAGGAAGCACCTTGACAAGAGAACACAGTGACCCAAGGCAAATACAACAACTGGCAGGTGACTTGATCTTCAAGGTAAAGCTGTCCTCTTGGGTTCAGGAAATAAACTAATTGAATTCTGCCCGGAACCAGTGGTAGTCACTGAAGGTCGTAACCAGCTGAGGCTATGTCTGGCAGGAACAAATAATCAACAACTGGGCTGCCTCCAGCAAAGGCCAGCGTCCCTGATGCAAAACACTCTACCACCTAATATAAGTCCTTGAGGCGCCTGCGCTGGTCTGAGCCATTCTGAGGGTGACCAGCTTGTGAGCCAGCAGAGTGGATGGTGCTTAAGAGGACCTCTGCATCCAGAGAAAACCTCACATCACCCCCAAACTGATTCTGTCTGAATCCCAGCTTGTCCCTCTTACCCCCAATGCCCGCTGATGAGTGGGCAGGACGTCTGGGCACTGCCAGGTGGCCAACAGTAAGCACAGGATCGAGGCAGCAGCTGTCAGGTTGTTCAGTTCAAAAGTAGTGACAGCAACTGCTTTTATGATTGACCAGTCCAG